ATCTAATCCTGAATGATGAATTCCAATACCAAATTGTAGAACTGATTTTAATTATGTATCATCAACTTTAACACACCATTAGGCTAATTCCTATTCAGTTGTTTAGATAAATTGTTTTTCATTACCTTCTTACATTGCTAAAGCTATAATATCCAAAGCTGTTAAACGAGTTTGTCTACGAGAGGATACAAAAATAATAGTTGGTTTTCCATCACTATATCTTTTAATATCTTGATAAGCTGGTTTATTCATAGTAGCCATTCTTGGACAATAAGCTCTTTCTGGAAATCCATTAAAATGAATAGTTACAGGAACAGGTCTACAAGAAGGTTTAAAATTATAAAATCTACCCTTCTTGACTCCAAACCAATTACTTACATCTAATCCATTTGCCATCGCTGTTGATAATCCAATCATTCTAGTTTTTTTATTAGTATCATAACTTAATGAATTCATTCTACTAACTATAACTTCTAAGACTTAACCTCTCTCTTATCCAAGTAGATGAATTTCATCAAAAATTAATAGACATGTTTATCTTACATATTCTCTATTATTCCAACTTCTACTAATACCATCCCATTTTTCTGGTGTTGTAATTAAAACATGAGCCTTTAATAGTGCTTATAGATCTGGAGTATAATCTCCTGTTAATTCAAGCACATTTTTATTGATATCCTTCAATCTCTTAGTCCAATCTAATAGTCTCTCTTTTGCAATTGCTTTTAATGGTGCTATATATACAACTTTAAATTATGGTGATTATTTGAAAACTCTTAACATAGCGAATTCAGCCATTATTGTTTTACCAGAACCAGTAGGTGCTCCAATTAATATATTATCATCTGTATTATAGAGTCCAAAGAAAACTTATGTTTATATAGGATTAAAGTATTTATACTACTAGTATAATTGTTCAAATTCACAATTATTTAATGCACTAATTGGTAATGGTTGTAAATCTAATAATTCTGTAAAATCTATTTAATCACCTTCCATTAAGACATTTGATAGATCTATCTAAACTGTAGTTTAATCTCCATCCAACATAATCCATCTATCACTTTAAATTGTCAAATGGTATTTCTTATTTTTTGAATTAAATGGTACATAAAAAGATATTTACATAGTATTTCGTTTAATAATTGTATCCATATCCATCAAAAACTCTTCAGAATGCAATAATTCTTCAGAGTCATCTACAAATATCCAAAATGGCTCATTCTTTAAATGCCATTTACTACTGAAAGTAAATTAAGGTGTTATAAATACAACCAATTATAAAATAGTTTAAGAAATTGGTTTAACTGTATAATTAATTTCCAAATCAGGTAACATATTTACATAGGCTTTAAATTGAGAAACCAAATTTTAAGGTATTGATAATTAATTAGCCAAAACTGCATCATCTTCATTCTTCATTTAATAAGCATCTAAACTACATTCAGCCATAGCACCTATCCATGCTCTAGGCATATATGCATCTTTAGATTTCATTTATTTTCTAGTATTAAACCCTTAAAAGTTTTCCTTACTAAATTAAAAGAGTGGATTCTATTGAGGACACATTCTATTTTCAATCATTTTACATAATTTCAATAATTCAAGTGCCATACATGCTTAATTTTTCTTTATTGCCATATCCAACATACATCTTAATAATCTAATAGTATTTTAAATAATAATATGAGTATCCATTATTAAAGCATAATTTTCAAAATTCATTTTTAATAGATATCCACTAATAAGTGCAATAACTTTCTCTTAAGTTTCTATAACACTTGCAGAATTATCAAATTAATCACTTCTAATATCAGGTTCATCTTCAAATGCCCAACCTTCATCATAAATCTTTTGTAATTCTTTAGTTTCTTCTGGTCTTACACGAATCATTTCAAATTCTTTAGCCTTAGCTATAATCTTAAGTAATTAATATTAATTCTTATCATTAAATTTTTATTTCTCCTATTAATCAAATGATAAACCCATTTCATCACACAAAATCTTCATTGTTTCACATTTGATATAATAATGTGAAGCAATTCTACCTAAATCTGTAGATGTAACTAGATGATTCCTTGTGTCATATCTCACTAATTTTAATGAATCCAACTATTTTAAAGCCTATTCAATCTTTTCTTAAACTAATGTATCACAATCTAATTCTAAATCATCATATGCTCTTTAAACACCATAATGTAATGGATTTCTTCTTAATCTAATACTTAAAAATGTATGACACATCCAATTATAAGCTTCAGTATAATTAGTAATATTTCCTAAAACTATTTCTGCATTTAATGCTTCTCTTAAGAAAGTTAATAATTTACTTTCAATATAACTGGCATTATTTAACATACCCATATAATGACCAACATTATTGAAATCAGTTATTAGAGTTGCTTCTCCCTTATCATCAAATTATGGTCTACCAGCTCTACCAAACATTTATTAAACATCCAAAACACATAAATTCTACATATCTGCTCTAGTAACATCAAATATATCTGTTCCTTTAATAATAACAGCAAAGGCAGGTAAGTTAACACCCCAAGCTAAAGTAGCTGTAGCTATTAATACTCTTGCTTCTCCACTTAAAAATAATCTTTCAACTGAATTACGATCTGCTCTTAACATACCAGCATGATGGAATGCCAAACCATAAGGTAATAATTTTTTTAATTCATTATCATTTATTTTAGTACAATTAATTTTAGTTGTTCCAATAATATGTCTATCACCTAAACGAGAAGCTCTTTCTTATATCCATTTAGCATAATTAACAGTCTCTTTACGAGAATGTACAAATATAAGTACTTATTTATTATGTTTAACAACTTCACTCATTAATTCATAAGCTTATTCATTTTGTATATCTCTTTTAGTTCTTCTTCTTTATCCCTTAGCAGGTGCTTATACAGGTTCTTTACATCCTATGAATTTCTAACATAATGGTACTGGTCTGAAAGTATGATCAAAAAAGAACACACTATCTTTATGGCATTCTAAAAATATTGCAACATCCCAATAATTTGGTAGAGTTGCAGATAAACCTACTAATCTAATATGTCTTTAAGCTCTTTATACTTATTAAAGTGTACGAGCAACTACACATTCTAATATTGGACCTCTTTCATCATTAAGTAAATGAACTTCATCAATAATTAATAATTTTAATTGTTCACTAATTTAATTCGTTTTTCTAGTAATAACATCCCATTTTTCTGGTGTTGTCAATATAATATGTGTTTCTTATAATTCTTTCTTAGATAATTACATATCTCCTGTAAATTCTTTGACTCTTATTCCCAAATATCTAAGTTTTGTTTAGAATTTTTCAACTATTTCACTAGCTAATGCTTTCATTGGAGATATGTAGACAATCTTGAAATCTTAATCTTTTAATCTTTTGTCTTTTTCATCTACTCTCTTAGATATTTCATGAAGGATTGCCAACAATGCTATATTAGTTTTACCAGCTCCTGTTGGTGCACATACCAATAGATTCTCTTCAGTCAAAAATGCTTTTGGATATATTTATGATTGAATAACATTTAGACTATTTGTTCCATCAAATGCTTTTCTTGCCCATTCTGGTAGATCTTATATAGGTATGAGTTTATCTTCTTTTATTGGTTTTTTAGGTAATGGATCAATTCTTATATATAAATATTCTAATTTATCTGTTCTTGTAGATGTTGGAAAATATCTAACTAAAGTTTATTGTTCCATTTTTGCATATTAATCTGGATCAAATTCTATTAAACCATCTTAAAATGTAGTCTAAACTTTTTGTTAATTTGTATATTCTTATTTTCTTAATCCTAACATTCCTTCTTATTAAACATCTATTCCAATTTTGGCTAGTAGTTGATGATTTGAAGTGGCTACACCATTATTTTAAAGTGTTGGTTTTTATTATTAATTTTAAGCTTCCCAAAATTTCTTTTCACTCAAATACTTAACTATTTCTTTTCTATATATCAATAAAAATTATGCAGCCTTTACATTTTTTAATATATCATAAAATTTACATTCCAAAATTTAATTTGTTAATTTCTTATCACATATATCTTTTAATAAATCGAAAAGTAATAATTACCAATATTCTGGTGATGCTTTTACTAAAACATTATGAAATTGTTTATCAAATTCTGATAAATAATTGATATTCTCTCTATCTTAAATTACTTCAATTTATTCTAATTCTTATTATTACTATTCTTCTTTAAATTAGATCTCCCAATTAGATTCCACATTAAGTGGTTCCATATTTATTACATCTTTATAATTTTTTAAATCTTCATTAAATGTTCCATACTCTATTATTTGTTTATTTTAATCATTTTCTTAATGGAGAGTCTAGGCCATTATTCTATCTATTTGACTATCCACTTCATAAATTGTTGAATAAAGAACTTAAAGTTAAACTTCATTATAATTTGGCTCTATGATTATAAAATCATATCCTCGATATGTAGCTAATACATTCATTACGCTTTTCATAAAATATTATTAACTCTCTTCTCCTTACATCACAGTCTATTTATAAATTAAATAAATTTCTTCTAAAAGATCCACAAATGCCAACGTTATTTAACCACTTAATCCTCTTGTATCTTATGCTGCTACATGAACACCTAATTCCTTTAATAATACTCTTAATCTATTTGATAATTCTTTGATATGAAATTCTGTCCCAAACATTAATCTATACATTGGCTTTGCCTTCCTCATTCGTTCTTCATTGTAAACTTCATCATCTTATCTCTCTAAATATGCTTTATTTAAAGAAATTGGTCTTCCATCATTATATCCTTATTCGAAATATCTTAACTTTAGAGTGGTTCGATTGAACTATAAAGTTATTAAACTCAAAATACATCTTTTATCAAATATTTCTGAATGTCTTGTGCTTACAAAAGCTCCGCAGACAAGTTGAAGAGATTATTACTCATTAAATTAATTTTAATAAAGAATTTATTTGCTAATTATGTATTTCAATCAAAAAGGAGATTTCTTAAATCTTATCTAACTTCTATTTTTCCTTCTTCTTATTCATCTTCTTCCTCAATTGGAATATTTGATTTAACTTATGATTACTTTTGGTTCATTTTCTTTAAAGCCTATTAAGTATATGTATTTTAGGGATGCTTTTAGACTCCAAAATCTAAATCAAATGTATATTTATCATTTTATTATGATGAAACTATTGAAACACTTTGATGATCACTTGTTATAACATTTCTTGGTTTAGAATTAAATGTTTATTATTATTGTTATTATTATTATTATTATTATTATTATTATTATTATTATTATTATTATTATTATTAGGGAATTCCATTTGAAAATGTTTGAACAAATGATTAATGATCTTAATGTAATACATAAGATGGAAATTGAGGAAAATCTCCTTATTACTAATTAAAAGATTATGTTGTTTGTTGAGTTTATTGCTACATCTATTATATTTATTACTATGCCTTTATCAATTATTATTAGAGTAAATTTTACTATTCTAATAATTATTAATATTATTAAGGGTTTAATTACTATTAATAATTGACCTAATTAATAGATTATTACTAATAAGTATTCTATTATATATTTTATTATAAAGGAATTGTGTAGCTTATTTATTGTTATTATTATTAATTATTAAACTATTATTAGTATTATGGTTATTCTATTGGTTTTTAAGGAGGTTATTAAAGCATCATATCTAATTTTAGTAAAGATGCCTCAATTTAATCTTCTTAGGACTTTACTAAAATATTAATGCATAATACTTGGATATTAATTTTAAACAACAACTACCCTATTTACTTGATTTGAAGATTACAAATTTCTTACTCCATATTTTTATTATACTTATTCTATTTTTTATTTGTTTTCTTTATTCAAATTTAATAGTTCAAGTTATATCTACATTTCCATATCATTTATATTTTAAAGATCCTCCTATCATAATATTATCACAAATCTATACCTGAAGAAATTCTTAAATATGGTTTTACTCATCTTAAACACTACTTGCTTGTTTATGTATTTACTTATTTGTTATTCTAATATTTTATGGAGGCTTTCTAGGAGGATTTTAATGAGAAGTAATATTATTGTTATTTTAATTAGTATCAACAGTATTTTATTATAATTGCTGTTAAATTTACATTTATTAAGCTAGTAATTGTTATTCTTTTTACTATAATATCTTCATATGCTCTGTATTTTTATTTGGAGTACTTTTTTTAGGAACAGATGAAGAGGCTTGCTTTTATTTAGCATTTGATGATTCTTATTATAATTTTTATGAAGTTTGCTCTCTTTTATCTCTATCTGTCCCTTGTTTTTAACTCATTTTAGATAAGACATCATCAGCTTAAGTTATAGCCTATTCAGCCCATTAAGTAGGTTTAGATAAAGGAGGCTTTGAGTTTTATTTAGCTAATTATCCATTTTTCATAGTGTTCTTCCACAAATCTTCCTCTTCATCACTACATTCTTCTGGTAATCCTAATAATTGTTTTAAATCATTTTTTTTTTAATTAGGAGTTGGTTTTTATTTTTAAGCCATACTTAAGTCAAGACTATCTAAAAGTTCACTTTTCCTCATGACTTCAAAATCTTCCCATTATTTTTAAAATTCTTAAGGTAATTTTTTATTCTTAGCAACTTGAGATACTTCTAGATCAAGTGCTTCGAAATTATTGTAATTTGTTTATACTTTTTTTTCTAATTGAGGTTTTGGATTTTATTTAGGATAATCAGTTTATCTTGGTTAATAGTCTGCTAATATTTATTTAGTATTGTTTCTTAAATAATTGATATAAGCCTATTCTTTAGTTTTCTTTCTTTGATCAAGTAATGCAGCTGCTTATTTTTGTTTTTCTTCTTCTTGTTATTTAAGTTTCTTTTCTTATTCCTTTCTTCTTTTATTATTTTCTATCATTAATTATCGATGTTTTTCTTCATTCTATTGCATTTTATTTAATATATCTTCTTTTGTTTTTACATCAGTGGTTGTACTCTATTTATAATTATAAATTTGATACCTTTTTACTTGATTATTAACTTACAATAGATTTAGTATCATTTTATTTCTTATTATTGTATTTATTTAAGTACCCTGCTGTTGACATTTAAAGTATAATAACTGTTTATTTATAATAATAATATTAGTTGATTCAATCATTAGCAAATAATCTTAGAAAGTCTTAACCCAATGAAGTTTGAAATGGTACCTTAACTGGTTAATTACTCTAGTTCTTATCTAAAGCTGATCTAGCATTATATTTAATAACTATTTATTCTTCTTTGGCTCTAAATCCATGAGCAGAAGTAATTTGATTGTTCATAGGAGAGTATTAAACAATTTAGAATCCCATTCCATTATGCTTTAAATTAGCAGATTAAGGATGTTTTTATTCTGATACTTATTTTTCTTTTTTAAAAAGAATTACTTACTTCCTTCATCAGTTCGATATCCATCTCTTTAATGAAATTTATTTAAATTAACTTGATTATTCATCATCTTGAAGAACCCTAAATCGAAATCATCAAATTCATCATTATTATTCTTAATAATTCCCATATTATTATTTTGGTTGGCTTAAATAATATTAACAAATATTACATATTTCATCAATATGAGCATACATATTTTTAATAGGAATTTCGATACCATCCCTATCAGAATTTTAATTGCCTGATTGAATAGGTAATTCTAATCCAGTTGCCTTTGGAGGTGTTTTATGTCTTGAAGGAGGTCTTTCATTGTTATCAAAATTTTCAATTTAAATTTACTCTGTCTACTTTCTTCTTTGTCCAGAACGTATGGAGAGCAATTCCTTTATAATAAAATGAAACAAAATCATACTTTTGGTGAATTCAATTAATTCAAGTTTATAGGTATAATTTCTTAATTCTCTTAATAATCCTCTTAGATTATATTAGGTTCATAATTTAAGAGCATAAAATCTGATTGCTTTGTTTCGAAAGCATGTTTTGAATCATTTTTATCTGAATTCATGAATCTTTTTCTTCTTGCACCTTCAGATGTTTATGGTCTATTAAGACAAGCTGTAGCTTTTCTTATACTTGCAATTGGTTCTTCAGTTTATTTCTATACATAAGATGCATTTTTTTGAATTTCTTTTTCTTCTTATTGCTATGTAGGTAATTAAAGGTTTTAATGTTCATCACTATCAGTTACATTTGATTTATTTGAGTAATCATCATTATTGTTCATATCTACTATTTCAACCTCTTCTTGTTCTCTAGGGGTGAATTATTCATTATCGGAATTATCAACAACTACTAAATTCTCGCAATTTAACTTAGGTTCCAAAGTATTCATTTATTGAGTTTATGGTCTACTCTGTTATTACTCAGAACTACGAAAAGGTCTTGAAATTTGTTAAGTGAATGTTCTAGAAGGCTTAAATGAACCTCTCCCACTCTTTGAACCATTATCATAACGCTTTTCAAGACTTCTTTTTTTAACAGTGCTTTAAAATTGACTTACATAAATTTTTGAAATCTGCTAGATATTATTTTATTAACTTTTTGGCTGTGATCTATGTTACTGAAAATACTACTCACATAGTTTTTAAGTATGGATTAGGAACATTATGTACAACAGTAATCAAAGGTTGTTAGTATGGACTTTTAAAAGGCATTTTTTCTTTACGAGATTAATGTGGTGCAGTTCCTCCTCGCTTAAGGTTTTCACTAAACTGAATTACCAATCAATTAAAGTACCCTTAATTAGTAAACCAACTCAAATAAAATGGCTGTTATTATTGATCTTTCTAACTTTTTGGTTTAAACATATTATAATTTATCAAACAATTATAAGAAACATATTATAATAAATCTAACCTTTTTCTTCTATGTTCTATCATTATTAATTTAATTTTTTATGATCCTTATATTTTATACAAAGGAACTTGTTAATCTATTATGATTTTATAATTTATTATTAAAAACCACATTAAAAATGGATTCTAATCTTTAAAATAATTACTATAATTCATCATAATAAAAAATTAATTGTAATCTGAAAATTGTTTTAACATTTCAAAGTTAATATCTTATCGTATTATATTAATTATAATATAGTAGGATCCAGTTCAAATTGTCATTTAAAAATTGAAAATAACTTAATTATATTTTAATAATGACGGAAGTGTGCGTACCTGGTTAAACAGGCTTTTTTCATACATGTGGGCAATTTAGTTAATGTGAATTGAATGCAGCAACATTAAAATATTCATGTTTGCATGATTCTCCTTTTACACCAAAAGCAGGAATAATTATATCATATATACTGACACCAATATTGATTGGAATTGGAATTTTAGGAGGGATGGGAGGTATAAATATTAAAAATTTTTAGGCGGAGTATTGAAAGGACCACTTTTGGAAATGATTCTAAATTATTCTTAAAGTGAAGCAACTCATATTGCATATTGTCTTATGTTTGGAGGTACCCTTCTTAACACAGTTCTATTAATGTTTGAAAAGTATAAACCTTAAATATAATAGAAATCCAGAAGATGAACGAAGACCTATTATAAATTACAGAATTGCAATAATCTTTAATCTTGCAGTTCCATTTGCCACTAATCTTGGTTCATCTTTAGCATCATTTCTACCATAATTATACACTCTTATTCTACAAGAGCTGTTTTTATTCGGAGTTGCTCCTATTCTATGGTAAAAAGGTATTATATAGAATAATTGTGTCAATTAGCTAAAAATGCTAAAGAAGCAGAACTCAAAATCAGTGATGACTCTTAAAAAGATAACACTACAAATTTAAATGACTCAAATCTTAATACTAAAATTGAGTTACAGACTATGGAAGGGATGCAAGAACAATAAGATTATTAAATTCCAGATAGTAAAAAGATGTCTATAATTTCTAATACAAGTTTAAATGAATCTCTATATTCATAATTTAAATAGGATTCAGAGAATATATTGCCACCTATGCCAATTGTCTTTATTCTAGGTTCATTTGGATTAAATTAAGTAAAAGATAAGTTTTATATAAATTAGATATTTATATAAATGAGATCTACAAATCCCAAGAAACCCTCATATGTTGGGATAGAAGATTGCACTTGGGAAAATGATTTTATAATTTTCATATTGATCGTTGCCAATGTCATTTATGATTATTTTATTTGGTAATTTGGGACAAACTAAGAGAAACAATATAATTAAATTAACTTTTTACCCAAAGAAAGATATTTTACTCCAATTAGTAGATTTTTCAAAATATATGCTGGTGGATTTATGGCAGGATTTGTATCCGGGTTTTTAGGAATGGGAGCTGGTTTTGTAATGGTTCCTACTTTGCTATATAGTGGCTTAATTCCTAGATGTGCTTCAGCTACATCAGCTTTTATTTATTTAATGATTTCATTAAATAATTTAATTACTCTACTCACCAATCATTATCTAGACTGGCAAACTATAATTTTATTTACTGGATTAGCTGTATTAAAAATATATCATTATTAAGATTATAGGTGGATCAGTTTTTGCTAAAATTGGCTATATATTATTAGGAAAATACAAAATTGGATATTTTGTAATACTGATTGTTTTTGCTCTAGACATAGCCAATATTATTTCTTAAATATATTATGGAGTTGTTTTTGGTAAAAGGTATGGGTTAGACTATTTAACTCATGCTAATAAGTAGTGTTAGTGATTATGTTATTCATCATGTCAAAATAAATAGAATTTTATTACAAAATATACTCAAAAAAAATTTTGGTTTGGCCTCTTTAATCGTTTATTGATTTCTGATTATTAAGACAAACGTGAAGTATGATCCATAAATCCAGAATATGGTCTAAAAACTTGTTATGATGATTTTGCCATAGTTGATCTTGATTAAGGAGTATCGCATTTAGGTGTATCCATAACAGATGAATATCTAGGAGTAACATTGGTATGGTATCCTAATAAAGGTTATGATTATGTTCTTGGTGTAGGATAGATGGTAGTCATTGTTTTATTTTTTTCAAGTTGCTTCTGAGTACTAACATTGATTTCGCTCTCTTTTGTAGACACTAAAGCATTTATTGAAAGTAATGGATCTACTTTTCCGAAGGCAGCACTTGTAGCTCTTTTTGGTTTTAATTAATTATGAGTGTGTTCTATTAATTTCATTGCTGAAATTACTCTTGATCTTTGAATAGCTTCCTAATTTTAAGGAGCTATTCTTAAAGGAGGCTTTACTAATCCAATTCTTATAAGATTTGAATAATATTTTTTAAGAAACCCTTCTGTATTTACATTTGAGGCGAAATTATATGGATTTTCAACTTTTTCCAATAATTTCATTTAAGGTACATCACTCTATTTTGTCTATTATACAAATTCATTTATTGTAATTTTTTTCCCTGTTTTTTTAAATTTTTTATTATACTTTTCTTTTAAATTATTATTAAACTTTAATACTCTACTATGTTTAGGTACCTAATTTATTATAGAATTTATACTTGATATTATTAAAATATTATATCTACTTTATCATAAGCCTTTATTGAGTCTTTTGTTAGTATCAAAGTTGATTTAGATTTCTTGATTTCATTAGTTGGCGAAGTATTAAATTTTTGTTTTTCAATTGGTTTGCTTCCTACAAGTAATCTTATTACTTATTTCTCTAAAAATAAATGATCAATTTATACACTTATGTTAAGTTATGATTTGCCTAATAATAGCATTTGGAAATAAACGTGAAAAGATCTTTAGCTTGATTCTATATAATAAAACTTATGCTGAATTAGCAATCACAGTATAGTAATAAGTTTATAGGCTATTTTAATCTTGATCAGGATCAATTAATAATTCATCTCCAATAATTCCACTTTCTTCCATATTAAATATATGTTCTTTGTTTTTTTGAAATGATACATGGCCTTATGCTAAAAAAAAGAGATGTTCTCCAATCTGATTTTCCCTTAAATAAAATAAACTAATTCTATTACTCTGTAATTATAGTGCAATTTGGTAGGATAATATTTTCAAATTGATTGGCAAGAGACTCTAATATTCTTTTAGAATTTAATTCTCCCAAACCTGGTATTATTTTACATAAAGTTCTATGCTTAAACAAAAATATCTCTCCATAATATTTAAAAATCTCATCACATTCTTTTTTATTAATAGTTAATAATATTGAATTATTGATTGAAGCTTTATATAATAGTTGGTTTTGCTGATATTTTATTTTCTCAAACTAAAAATCCTATTCTATATAAAATAGTGGATCTAAAGTTGTGAGATATTTTTCATGCTAGTAGATATATCCCTCTTCCAAATAATAAACTTCAACTTAACCTTTTAGAATAAGTTATAAAGCAGAATTTTAACTTGGTTAAACTTACTAATTAAGTTAATAATTTGTAATTTCTAAATAATTACAGAGCTAATCAAATCATATCAATTTACTTTGATTTACCCTTCTTATGATAGTTGTTGATGATAAAGTTCATTTAATTTGTTGAAAATTTATGTAACTTTTATTATCGATGCTATCGTCTTATTATATATATTAAAAGTACTTTAAGATCCTCATATGTTTTTGGATAGCTTAATATTTTTTATTGTAACAACACTAAATTATCATTCTAAATAATTTATTCCATTAAAAATAATAAAATTTATGAATAATATTTCATTTATTTGGTAATTTCTACTAATCTATGAAACCTTTCGATTGATGACTTTCTGCATGTAAACTCTTTCTTTTTGAGTTCTGTTCTAATATCATTTTTTAAATAAAGCTGCTATTAATGAAGTTCTATTTGTTTATTCCTACAGAATAACTTCTATTTCGACTTTTTATTTATTAATAAAATTATTACTTTAATGATAGGGGTCTCTAAAACAATAATCTTTATGAATCTTTATATTTTAATAATTTATTTAAACTATTGTTATGAGTCTATTGCTATTTATTTATTTAACTATTATTAAATAGCTCTTATTTCTCTAAATTATTTTTTAAATGAGTTGAATTAGATCGCTATTTTTATAAAATTTAATTGATAGCTTATGTACTATCCCTTCTAGAATTTTATGCAGTTTATTATTTATAGATTTGTGTAAAATACTTCAACTGCTATATTAAATTATAATTATCTTTTTTGAGTTTCTTAGTTAAATTCATATATTACTTAAATTATTTTAGTTGTTTCTCTAAGATATTCATTTCTAATTTATTCTGATTCTTCTAATTATTATTAAATTGTATCAATATATATTTTCATCTCATGTTATGTCTAACTAAATCTATATATCATATGATCATACTCTAATGTGAATTCTTATTTCTTATTCTTATTTTTGAATTGCCTATTCTAATTTTTAATAGTTCTCAGGTTTTGATTCACATCTGAAAAATTTCTAATAATTATTAGTTCCTTAAAATTTTTTTTTCAGCTTACAGAAGATAAATTTTATTGTTTCTGCTAACTGTTACAAATTCTCATAATCTTGCAATTGATTTTATATAAGTTGCAACTCTTCTTCTGATCTTATATTCTATTCAAGTAATTACAGCATCTTTATTTACACTCAAAACTAATACTTCTGACAAGATTTCTTTTAAAATGCTTTCGAGAATGTAATCAGTACTATTATTTGTTAACATATTTAATCAAAATTAGAAATTTAGTAAAATTTAATATATAATAAGTTTTTATTATTATATTAATGTTAGCTGATTTTATATTATTCAAAATTAAAGAAAGTTACTGCTTCCCCATCTTAGAATTTTACTTTGAATTCTGCTTTTACAGTAATCACAAGAATTTGTCATACATTTATATTAGAATTTTCAATATTCAATCTTAACTTATTATAAGTATTTTACGATTTTATATAAATTAATTATTATAATTCTATTGTAAGAGAGGATCTAAAATAACTGAAAATTAAGTATAACTTTGAGAAATTCCCTTTTTAAAAAATATTTCTATTATAAATCAATTAACTGTCCTGTCTCAATATTATGTTCAATAATAAATGAAATATAAATTAAAAAATACTCTCTTCAAAATTACATTAAAGAACTTATTTTTTTATTAACTAAAAAATCTTAAATAATACATAGAATTTAACTAAATTTTTATATGATATTAAAATTTCAGATCTCTTTTTCTCATTATTTCAATTATTATATAATCATTTAGCTTCTCAAAGGATCAAAATATGTATTTAATAGAGAAGGGAAATAATAATCTACAATTTTAGTTTGTGTTTTTTTATCTGCCCAAACCAATCCTTCCCTTTATAATACTTGAATTTTTTGATAAAACCTTTCCTTTGTCCAACCTTTCTTTTCTTGCATTATTTTTTCATTCACAAATCTTTCTTCTTCTGCTACTTCTAAAAGCAAATTAAAATCAGGACTCATCTCTATTGGAACAGTGTAAACATATTTATTGTGAATGTGACACCCTCCCAAAGATGATACAGTATTAATTGCTCTTTCAATATCTGATTTAGAAACTTTCATTCCATAAACCTTCCTGAATTCATCAATAATGTCAGTGATTTTAGTAATTCCTCCATAAATGGAGTATTTTTTAGCACAAATATCTAGAATTTTAATCTTTTCATATTATGAATAATTTACAGCTAACTCATTATAAAAATCTCCAAAACCTAAATCACTCCAAATAGTCTTTTTCGACATCATTGGATTGACATCCATTTTATCGCATAATTCATTAAACTTTTCTCTAAAATCAGGATTCTTTTAGATCTCATCTCTGTATTTTCCTGCAAATTGATGCAAATTTTTTTAAAAAACATCATATATCAATGTTAACTATTCTACTTATTTAGCTTAGCTTTTTTATAATTATCCTAGTTTATTTTCTTTTGTTTCTTTTTCTGCAGCTCTTTATTTTTTTCCTGTATAAATCATAAATAATATTTTTATATTTATAAATATATTGTTTGGATATAAATTCTAAAATTTCCAATGTATAGAATGCTAAACTCTGTTAATATTATTTAGAATTTAATAAATTTAACATTTGCTATCAAGGCTAAGAAAATTTTAGCTGAATTATCATTCAAAATATCAATTTGTGTTGTAAACTTTAATGCTCTATTATTTATAATTTAAAGTTTCTAAAGTTCAATTAGATGAGTTACTGCTTCTTTTAAATTTAATAAACTTACATGAAAATAAATTATATTTTAAAACAATAATTCTTGAATTTAATATGATAATAAAAGATTAAATCAATTAAANGAGAGGATCTAAAATAACTGAAAATTAAGTATAACTTTGAGAAATTCCCTTTTTAAAAAATATTTCTATTATAAATCAATTAACTGTCCTGTCTCAATATTATGTTCAATAATAAATGAAATATAAATTAAAAAATACTCTCTTCAAAATTACATTAAAGAACTTATTTTTTTATTAACTAAAAAATCTTAAATAATACATAGAATTTAACTAAATTTTTATATGATATTAAAATTTCAGATCTCTTTTTCTCATTATTTCAATTATTATATAATCATTTAGCTTCTCAAAGGATCAAAATATGTATTTAATAGAGAAGGGAAATAATAATCTACAATTTTAGTTTGTGTTTTTTTATCTGCCCAAACCAATCCTTCCCTTTATAATACTTGAATTTTTTGATAAAACCTTTCCTTTGTCCAACCTTTCTTTTCTTGCATTATTTTTTCATTCACAAATCTTTCTTCTTCTGCTACTTCTAAAAGCAAATTAAAATCAGGACTCATCTCTATTGGAACAGTGTAAACATATTTATTGTGAATGTGACACCCTCCCAAAGATGATACAGTATTAATTGCTCTTTCAATATCTGATTTAGAAACTTTCATTCCATAAACCTTCCTGAATTCATCAATAATGTCAGTGATTTTAGTAATTCCTCCATAAATGGAGTATTTTTTAGCACAAATATCTAGAATTTTAATCTTTTCATATTATGAATAATTTACAGCTAACTCATTATAAAAATCTCCAAAACCTAAATCACTCCAAATAGTCTTTTTCGACATCATTGGATTGACATCCATTTTATCGCATAATTCATTAAACTTTTCTCTAAAATCAGGATTCTTTTAGATCTCATCTCTGTATTTTCCTGCAAATTGATGCAAATTTTTTTAAAAAACATCATATATCAATGTTAACTATTCTACTTATTTAGCTTAGCTTTTTTATAATTATCCTAGTTTATTTTCTTTTGTTTCTTTTTCTGCAGCTCTTTATTTTTTTCCTGTATAAATCATAAATAATATTTTTATATTTATAAATATATTGTTTGGATATAAATTCTAAAATTTCCAATGTATAGAATGCTAAACTCTGTTAATATTATTTAGAATTTAATAAATTTAACATTTGCTATCAAGGCTAAGAAAATTTTAGCTGAATTATCATTCAAAATATCAATTTGTGTTGTAAACTTTAATGCTCTATTATTTATAATTTAAAGTTTCTAAAGTTCAATTAGATGAGTTACTGCTTCTTTTAAATTTAATAAACTTACATGAAAATAAATTATATTTTAAAACAATAATTCTTGAATTTAATATGATAATAAAAGATTAAATCAATTAAAATTGTATTAATAATAAAATAAAGGATTGATGATTGATTTAAGGGTTTAATTTTATGATACGAATCAATAAAAATTCTGTCTAAAATATTTAATATTATGATATATGAAATATATATGATCAAAACATACAACTTTCATATGTTGGTATCATATATTTAATATTAATATATGCATCTTCTCCTCCATTTTTTTCAAGTGTTTCTAATGTTTCTTATATAAGATCAGATAGATTTTCATTTTTTCTTTATGAATAATCAATTTTATCTCCAATATTTACTATAATAATAATAATAATATAAATACATCTTTTATTTTTATACATATTCATAACAGGTAATATTTATCTATAATAAGGTACTAATGCTTCTCCTATCATTTAACCACTTTTGACTAATTTCTATATTTTCTTTAATGTAATACACATAATATCATGATTCTTTGTTGCTAATGCTTCTATTTAATTAATATATATATATTATATTTACTTTTAATAGGAATAATCAATTATGGTAATACAGATAATATCTTAGTTTCACCTTTTTATAATAATTCTTCACATCCATTGACAGCTAAGAATTTATAAGGATCTTCAACTTCTCTTAATCCTTCAAAGAATATTGGAAGATATAAATGATAATCTAAACATTCAGGTTCACATTTCCATACAATCTTTCTAACTGCTCCACTAAAATTAACAGCAATTGGAAGATCTCCACGATCATAATATTTTTTAAATAAAGTCTATTCAATCATAGGTAAAGCTTAAAAGATTCCTGATTTTGGTACTTTTTATGGAGCTTAACTTTTCTTAGGAGCTAATGATGAACACACTATTAAAAATGTTATATAACTTATATATTATTACTTCCACCTGTCCCTGCAAATTTATTACTAATATTCAATAAATTTGAACAGAATTTACCTGGTGATCTTTATGGAGAATGTCCTTTTATTCTTTTATTTGTTTATTATTATTGTAGCATACTTATCTAAATTTTATATTAAATTAATTATCCAACCTGATGATGCATGTGTGCATGTTTTTTTGATAATAATTCAGCATACTTAAACTAATGAATTATTAAACATTCCTTTAAGCTTCACTGTAGAATTTAACTTAATTGGAAGTATCTAAATACCTCTTTTTAGATTGACATGATATTTCAACAAAATCTAAAATATTATAGAGATCTTCAACTGTAAACTATTTAGTTCAACTAAAATGGTTAGAGAAGTTGCAATAAATAAATTTTTTTAAGTATTTTAAACAATAAATATATTCTAACGATAATATTATTTCAAAAATAAAGGCATGCTTCGCACAAATATGTCAATAGTTAATCTTAACCATCAATAGAGTTCGAGCTCTCTATTATAAGCATTAGTAAATTAGAGACCAAAATCCTCATAAAAATCAAATTCACAAAAAAGAGTGCCTTCTGCTAAATCTACCAAAACAAACCAAAATGGTCAACCTAGTTATAAGGTACTATATAATTTTAATNTATGATCAAAACATACAACTTTCATATGTTGGTATCATATATTTAATATTAATATATGCATCTTCTCCTCCATTTTTTTCAAGTGTTTCTAATGTTTCTTATATAAGATCAGATAGATTTTCATTTTTTCTTTATGAATAATCAATTTTATCTCCAATATTTACTATAATAATAATAATAATATAAATACATCTTTTATTTTTATACATATTCATAACAGGTAATATTTATCTATAATAAGGTACTAATGCTTCTCCTATCATTTAACCACTTTTGACTAATTTCTATATTTTCTTTAATGTAATACACATAATATCATGATTCTTTGTTGCTAATGCTTCTATTTAATTAATATATATATATTATATTTACTTTTAATAGGAATAATCAATTATGGTAATACAGATAATATCTTAGTTTCACCTTTTTATAATAATTCTTCACATCCATTGACAGCTAAGAATTTATAAGGATCTTCAACTTCTCTTAATCCTTCAAAGAATATTGGAAGATATAAATGATAATCTAAACATTCAGGTTCACATTTCCATACAATCTTTCTAACTGCTCCACTAAAATTAACAGCAATTGGAAGATCTCCACGATCATAATATTTTTTAAATAAAGTCTATTCAATCATAGGTAAAGCTTAAAAGATTCCTGATTTTGGTACTTTTTATGGAGCTTAACTTTTCTTAGGAGCTAATGATGAACACACTATTAAAAATGTTATATAACTTATATATTATTACTTCCACCTGTCCCTGCAAATTTATTACTAATATTCAATAAATTTGAACAGAATTTACCTGGTGATCTTTATGGAGAATGTCCTTTTATTCTTTTATTTGTTTATTATTATTGTAGCATACTTATCTAAATTTTATATTTAATTAATTATATTATGTTTCATTTATAATATTTCTTTTTAAAATCTCCTCACAATTTAAAAATGTTATCTAAGATTGTCAGGAAAATTTTTCTCTTCATTTTTCAATTATTAATCACATTTTTAATATTTTCAAAAAATTTAAAGCTTTTTAGGTTTAATTTCAAGAAGTCTTGTATTTAAAGTCAAATTATAGCGTGAAAAAACTGAATGTATTTGTTTTTAATTTCATTCTTTTTATAATTTTTATCCACAGCATAATTACAATACTTCATATTTCAATTAATTTTCTAGTTATTATTATAGTATTTATACACTGAAACTAATTAATGATATAAGTGCCTGCAATTATAAAGTAAATATTAAATTTATTTTATAAATATATATTACACTAGTATGGAAGTAAACTTTAATTAACTTGACATCCTTTTAAGATTGATTTAAGAGAGATCTGAGGATGTTCGAGTGATGACAACAATAAATTAATAAGTGCAAACTCATTAAAAGACCATCGATATTGAATTCAATTAAGTTTAACAATCCCTTAGACAAATGGGATTTAAAGTAATAGCTATGAAAAAACATGATAAACCTAGGTAGGATGAAGAAAACAAAATTTTAGAGTATCTTTCAAAAATCAATACACTAAATCTTCCAGAGAGAATGTATATTTATAAATTTTGTTAAACTATAATAAAATTGTTCAAACCAGAGATGCAAATAGTAAGATTTAATTAAAAAGATACAAAAGACCTTCTTTTAATGTTTAAATAATATTTCATGGCCGAGAATAATATTGAAATTTTATAATAAATCCAATAACTTATGATGGATTAGGAATTTAAAGTATTTTATATTATCATATAGCAGATGACCTCAGCATTAGTCCTAATAAAGATTTTAGTGAACAAATCAAGAGAAGATTTTCATAATTTGATTCAAAGTACATCTGCTATTGTTATATCAAAAATAAAAGCAAAACTATCTGAACAACAATAACAACAAAAACATATAATTAATGAATAACAAAAATCAACTGAACTCTAAGATCCAGGATCCAATGAAAGCCCTAAAACCAAGCTTTGGATTTAGAGAAAAGGCAGTAAATAAAGAGAATCATCAAGCTCTTTGGTTTATTAAAAGCCTACAATCATTCTCAGATCAGTCTCGATGGTAGATAAATTGCTAGTTGCTTAATCTTAGTAATAATCTTATCAATAACAATTGATGTAATAATAGTAATAGATGTATATTAATCCAGAAAGAGAATTAAAATTATAATTAAGAGCACAATAAAAGAAATTAAAAAAGAAGCTGCATTCTAATTATAAAGCAATTATAGATGTGGACTTTGATAATTATTGGGCTATGCACATTATTTTGAAAAAGAAATTCATAAAGCATTCAGACAAATATTGTAATTTATAAATTTATATAGTTTTACAAAGAGGTGGATTCTACATATGGAGTTAATTAAAGTTGTTTAATTAATCTATCAGATAAACTATAAACAACTATTAATTAAAAAGAAATGATAGTATTTAGGCAGATAAATTGACAAATGAGTAAATTTAAGAGATACATCGAATATATAACACTACTTGCTAATCACCAAGAAAGCTTCCATAATTGCCAAATGTTTAATTAAAATCATAAAGCCCATAAATAATAAAATAAAATAAGTTTGTCTAAAATTTATCTTTTTTACCATAGCTATAATTTAGAAATCAACAACTTATTTAACAACAATAATAAGCTTATTCGCAAGTTTCATAGAAGCCAATATCATTTTATGATCCAAATAAAGATTTTACTACATCAGCTTAGAGGTCTAATAAATCATTAAATCTATCTTAAGACTAGATTCGCCACAAAAAATCTGAGCATAATTCCGAAATAATTCTCTACAAATGATTGATTGAGTAATTTTAACAATTAATAAATTCTCGTAAATAAATAATTTTAAAATTATTTATGAGATAATAACAAGCTCATATTTAGACTCTCTAAACTATGGCAGCCAGATTAAGCTCAACAATCTCAAATAGAAGATCGGTTTTAAATGAAAGTTAATAAATCTACAATCAATAATTAAATCTTTCAGTTAATCAATCCTTTAACAGCCCAAAATTAATATCTAATCATTAATCATTTATAATTTCATAGCCAATGAATCAAAGTATGAGAGAAACTGTCCAAGGTGTTCGATGTGCTTCACCATCCTTAAGAATATAAACAGAAAAAATAGAAAAAGAGGATAAGAAATAATAATAATTTATTGATGCCACAATGAAATTGTTGGCGCAAAATGAGAAATTAGAAAAATTAATTTGTGAATAAAATGAAATGCTAGCAATTTATAAATAAGATAAGTAGGAATTAGAATTTAAAATAAAGAGATTATCCTAAGAAATTATATTTCTGAAAGATGCAAACTCTAAGAGAGTAATGGCTTTAGAAAGGGAGTTAAAGTAGGTTAAAGGAAAATCTTAGCACTAACCGAAAAAATTTCTTCGATGAATTTTAATCATTATAAAATCTTAATTCTATTTTATTATTTAATTAGAAGCCTTCTGATTTTTAATATTTAATTGGTATCAGAGGTAAAATATTCTTGAATCATGAATCATTGCTTTTGAAGTAATACATATGTACTAGCCTTCCCTAATATTTATTTAGCAGATTAATTTCAACTTAATTTCTCATTTAATGATAAGAATGGAAGATATAGATAATTAACAAGTTTTAAATTAGTGCCAAACATGTAAGAAGTTAAAATCATTCTTTTGATAAATTAGAAATTATTTTAATATAATAAAATTATTCATATTCAAGGAAAACTATAGTTGTTTTTAGATTAAGGACTGGTTAAGTAAAAAAATATTATAGAGAAGTTACTAGACTTTAGAACCAAATATAATGTTAAATATAAAATTTATCAACATAAAGATATAAATATCTTAAATAAATTTTATTTAAGGCTTTATTTTATTAGTCTACTAATCTTTGCAAATTGATTTTGATTTCTGAGATACAATTTAAGAAGGAAAATAGAAAATTATAAAATTCTTAAAATTTATTGTATTCAAATTAGAGTAAAGAAACTGAAAAATAAAAGCTTTCTTAATTTCTATGATTTTAGCTCAATTTAATCAATCTATTAATCATATAATATTTGCTGCTTATTCTATTATATATATATTTGGATATATGGATATAATTTTGAATTTAATTCATAATAAAACTGTCTTCTGAAATGTAATTTATTTGGTATTTAAAAGCATAAGGATTGCTAGAAGCTATATTATAATAAGTGTATTTGAACAAATAAAGTATCTCTTTAATTACCAAAAACAAAAAAATTATGAAATTTATATATAATTATGCAATTCCAAATCGAATTCTCCAGAAGGAGAATTAGACTGGAAAAGCATGAATTAAGAAAAACAAAAGAAAGCATAATCCAGATTGCCTTCCATTCTCAATCAGTAGTTTTTGTCTTGATGGGATTTCCGTGAATCAGCACTTAGATGTGAAATTGTTTTGTAATGTGTTGTCCCTTTGGGAGGATTTTGACACCCGCAACCTTCTTTGTTACTTACTCTGTCTCGCTGGGAGGAGTTTTGGGAGAATCATTTTTTTTATATAGTTTTTTTGATTTATTATATTGGGATATGTGTTCAGACCATATGGCCTTACCCCAGGTGTAAGACATTTGTAATTCTTGGCAAGCCTAAAAAATGTAAACTTGAGCATAATACTTCTTTTAAAGATTTTTTCTCATACAAAACACGTGTGAGGAACATCACTTTTTCCTTCGGACTTGGACCAACTCTATTAGACTATTGTTTCTTCATTTATAGTTCAACTTAATATTTTAAATCAGCGAGAATGGGCATGAGTTTATGAAATTTAGGTAAATAATAAAGCTTAATATCCTTAGATCAACATACTTTTAACTCTCGATAATACGTCATCCAACAATATTTTAGTAGGAAATAACACTAATTATTTAGTGTGTTATCATGATCATAAAAATAAAAAATACTTTCTCACCTCAAATTTACTTATCTTTTAAAATCTCTACACTTAAGTCATTAAAAGGTTAGGAATCATATATAATACATAATGATTATGGAAATAATATGATTAAAACTTACTCTTAAATTACACTATTAGTTTTAGTCTCAATATTTAAAGTACAAATCAATTAATCTAAGGCAACCATTTTAATTTGCTTAATTCTTCAAACAGAGTTATTCGGTTTAAAACACTTTGCTTAACTCTCTTCATATATTAATATTTGAGAATTATTCCTAATCCTAACATGTTTATACAAAATTATTAGAATATGGGCTTTTCTTTTTAAATTAGTGAAATAATTATACTTTGAATTATTGTCTATGGATTCAAATTTGATCTAAAAGCATAGAGCTGATTTGGAGGTGAAATTCAGAATATAAATTAAATTAATTGAAACAGTTAATATATATAGATATAAATTATCATAGTTTTGTAATTAATGATTCAAAAGTAATATCTTATTGGTAAAATTATGTCTTGAAATTGTTAGAGTTCTTTTAAGGAATATCTTGATCCTACATTAAATCCATCAAATATGTTGTTAAATATAGTAGTTCTTTATCTAAAGCGTTGTCGTAAAATGGTATTATTGGAATACCATTTTCTAATTAAAAGCAAAAAGAGTATGATGCATTATCTATTAATACCATATCTTTTAAATTTCTATTCCCTATAATTCTTAAATCTTTGACATGTAATCCATCTTAAATAACAACACAACTATCTCTGAAAAATCTATGATGAATAAATTTTTTATCGGGATCCAAATAGTTTAGTACCTTTTAGGCATAGCATTCATGTGAAGCTGTAAATACAATTATTTCATATTTTTATGATAGAAGTTGAAGCATCTCTCTACAATATGGTCTAATATTAATCCCAGCTTCCACAGTTTCTCCTGTAGGAAATTTTATTGTTAAGACTATATCACTTGGATCATCATTTGATTCTTAACAATGGATTAGTGTTTCATCTAAATCAAACACTATACTTTTAGCAACTATTTAAATATTTAAATATATACATTTATTTGGAGGTAAATTTACTATTTTCTATTTTATCTCTTCTAATTTAGGTTTTTAAGCATCCTTACAAAACTATAGGGCATGAAAACTTTATTAAATATGGTCTAAATAAATTTCGCAAAAGTATTATTATGTTTTAAGACTATTATTAAATAATTATTTTATTTAGGTTTCAAATTTTTTCTCTTTATGAAAAAATCTAGCAAATGACATATAATATTAAAATTCTTAAAATGGTGCCTATGGTCCTATGCTAATCTTTTATACTGGTGCAAATTTTCTATCCCCTGACAAATTTCTAAGTTTCGATTTTGATTCTCTATGACTTACTAATGATTCTGAAACAATAGAATTTTCCTTTGCCCTTTTTTAACCATGTAAGGGAGAGTTCATCCTTTTTCTATTGGGTTTTGCATTAACTGATGTATTAACAGACTGTGAATTCTATTTTTATGGAATGAAATTTGCTCCTCTTGAGATTCTTGTTACATATTTATTTATTGAAGTTTAATTAACTTATAAACTGTTTGATTAAGAGAAGGCTGCATTAACATTTTAATCTTATTCTTGTAAGACTGCTTATGATGCTTATGACAATAAGGTTTATTATGTTGTTGCAAGAGATTAAATTTCTTTAGGTTACTAAACACTTAAAACAATCTAAGGACTTTATTGTTAGGTTTGCTACTAATTTTATTAAGAACTTTAATTAAAAAATGATGTGTTTTTGTATTTTGATATTAATTATTCTAATTTTTAAGTAGCTTCTGCATTTTCTACTTCTTATGTAACTTACTATTGTTATGTTTATTCTTCAATAATTAATTAATGCACTTCTTTTTTGCTATTACTTCTTGATTCTCTTGTCAATTTAACTGTCTTTTATTTAATGCCCAAAGATGCCGCACTTTATCCAAATATAGTCCTTTATATTAAAGATGTTTTTTTATTAGTTTTCTTTTCACTTTATTGCTCTTAAATTCTTTATGATTATAGTGGTTCAGTTGTAGAATTATCACTAAAAATGATAAGAAATTTTACGTTGGCTTTAAAGTCTCATTGGTTCGTTGAGATACTTCTTGTTTTTAATTTGGTATAGGCTAACATAGAGAAGAAGTTACCAGCTAAATTTAATTAAAATTATATAGTACCTTATAACTAGGTTGACCATTTTGGTTTGTTTTGGTAGATTTAGCAGAAGGCACTCTTTTTTGTGAATTTGATTTTTATGAGGATTTTGGTCTCTAATTTACTAATGCTTATAATAGAGAGCTCGAACTCTATTGATGGTTAAGATTAACTATTGACATATTTGTGCGAAGCATGCCTTTATTTTTGAAATAATATTATCGTTAGAATATATTTATTGTTTAAAATACTTAAAAAAATTTATTTATTGCAACTTCTCTAACCATTTTAGTTGAACTAAATAGTTTACAGTTGAAGATCTCTATAATATTTTAGATTTTGTTGAAATATCATGTCAATCTAAAAAGAGGTATTTAGATACTTCCAATTAAGTTAAATTCTACAGTGAAGCTTAAAGGAATGTTTAATAATTCATTAGTTTAAGTATGCTGAATTATTATCAAAAAAACATGCACACATGCATCATCAGGTTGGATAATTAATTTAATATAAAATTTAGATAAGTATGCTACAATAATAATAAACAAATAAAAGAATAAAAGGACATTCTCCATAAAGATCACCAGGTAAATTCTGTTCAAATTTATTGAATATTAGTAATAAATTTGCAGGGACAGGTGGAAGTAATAATATATAAGTTATATAACATTTTTAATAGTGTGTTCATCATTAGCTCCTAAGAAAAGTTAAGCTCCATAAAAAGTACCAAAATCAGGAATCTTTTAAGCTTTACCTATGATTGAATAGACTTTATTTAAAAAATATTATGATCGTGGAGATCTTCCAATTGCTGTTAATTTTAGTGGAGCAGTTAGAAAGATTGTATGGAAATGTGAACCTGAATGTTTAGATTATCATTTATATCTTCCAATATTCTTTGAAGGATTAAGAGAAGTTGAAGATCCTTATAAATTCTTAGCTGTCAATGGATGTGAAGAATTATTATAAAAAGGTGAAACTAAGATATTATCTGTATTACCATAATTGATTATTCCTATTAAAAGTAAATATAATATATATATATTAATTAAATAGAAGCATTAGCAACAAAGAATCATGATATTATGTGTATTACATTAAAGAAAATATAGAAATTAGTCAAAAGTGGTTAAATGATAGGAGAAGCATTAGTACCTTATTATAGATAAATATTACCTGTTATGAATATGTATAAAAATAAAAGATGTATTTATATTATTATTATTATTATAGTAAATATTGGAGATAAAATTGATTATTCATAAAGAAAAAATGAAAATCTATCTGATCTTATATAAGAAACATTAGAAACACTTGAAAAAAATGGAGGAGAAGATGCATATATTAATATTAAATATATGATACCAACATATGAAAGTTGTATGTTTTGATCATANAACATAGAGAAGAAGTTACCAGCTAAATTTAATTAAAATTATATAGTACCTTATAACTAGGTTGACCATTTTGGTTTGTTTTGGTAGATTTAGCAGAAGGCACTCTTTTTTGTGAATTTGATTTTTATGAGGATTTTGGTCTCTAATTTACTAATGCTTATAATAGAGAGCTCGAACTCTATTGATGGTTAAGATTAACTATTGACATATTTGTGCGAAGCATGCCTTTATTTTTGAAATAATATTATCGTTAGAATATATTTATTGTTTAAAATACTTAAAAAAATTTATTTATTGCAACTTCTCTAACCATTTTAGTTGAACTAAATAGTTTACAGTTGAAGATCTCTATAATATTTTAGATTTTGTTGAAATATCATGTCAATCTAAAAAGAGGTATTTAGATACTTCCAATTAAGTTAAATTCTACAGTGAAGCTTAAAGGAATGTTTAATAATTCATTAGTTTAAGTATGCTGAATTATTATCAAAAAAACATGCACACATGCATCATCAGGTTGGATAATTAATTTAATATAAAATTTAGATAAGTATGCTACAATAATAATAAACAAATAAAAGAATAAAAGGACATTCTCCATAAAGATCACCAGGTAAATTCTGTTCAAATTTATTGAATATTAGTAATAAATTTGCAGGGACAGGTGGAAGTAATAATATATAAGTTATATAACATTTTTAATAGTGTGTTCATCATTAGCTCCTAAGAAAAGTTAAGCTCCATAAAAAGTACCAAAATCAGGAATCTTTTAAGCTTTACCTATGATTGAATAGACTTTATTTAAAAAATATTATGATCGTGGAGATCTTCCAATTGCTGTTAATTTTAGTGGAGCAGTTAGAAAGATTGTATGGAAATGTGAACCTGAATGTTTAGATTATCATTTATATCTTCCAATATTCTTTGAAGGATTAAGAGAAGTTGAAGATCCTTATAAATTCTTAGCTGTCAATGGATGTGAAGAATTATTATAAAAAGGTGAAACTAAGATATTATCTGTATTACCATAATTGATTATTCCTATTAAAAGTAAATATAATATATATATATTAATTAAATAGAAGCATTAGCAACAAAGAATCATGATATTATGTGTATTACATTAAAGAAAATATAGAAATTAGTCAAAAGTGGTTAAATGATAGGAGAAGCATTAGTACCTTATTATAGATAAATATTACCTGTTATGAATATGTATAAAAATAAAAGATGTATTTATATTATTATTATTATTATAGTAAATATTGGAGATAAAATTGATTATTCATAAAGAAAAAATGAAAATCTATCTGATCTTATATAAGAAACATTAGAAACACTTGAAAAAAATGGAGGAGAAGATGCATATATTAATATTAAATATATGATACCAACATATGAAAGTTGTATGTTTTGATCATATATATTTCATATATCATAATATTAAATATTTTAGACAGAATTTTTATTGATTCGTATCATAAAATTAAACCCTTAAATCAATCATCAATCCTTTATTTTATTATTAATACAATTTTAATTGATTTAATCTTTTATTATCATATTAAATTCAAGAATTATTGTTTTAAAATATAATTTATTTTCATGTAAGTTTATTAAATTTAAAAGAAGCAGTAACTCATCTAATTGAACTTTAGAAACTTTAAATTATAAATAATAGAGCATTAAAGTTTACAACACAAATTGATATTTTGAATGATAATTCAGCTAAAATTTTCTTAGCCTTGATAGCAAATGTTAAATTTATTAAATTCTAAATAATATTAACAGAGTTTAGCATTCTATACATTGGAAATTTTAGAATTTATATCCAAACAATATATTTATAAATATAAAAATATTATTTATGATTTATACAGGAAAAAAATAAAGAGCTGCAGAAAAAGAAACAAAAGAAAATAAACTAGGATAATTATAAAAAAGCTAAGCTAAATAAGTAGAATAGTTAACATTGATATATGATGTTTTTTAAAAAAATTTGCATCAATTTGCAGGAAAATACAGAGATGAGATCTAAAAGAATCCTGATTTTAGAGAAAAGTTTAATGAATTATGCGATAAAATGGATGTCAATCCAATGATGTCGAAAAAGACTATTTGGAGTGATTTAGGTTTTGGAGATTTTTATAATGAGTTAGCTGTAAATTATTCATAATATGAAAAGATTAAAATTCTAGATATTTGTGCTAAAAAATACTCCATTTATGGAGGAATTACTAAAATCACTGACATTATTGATGAATTCAGGAAGGTTTATGGAATGAAAGTTTCTAAATCAGATATTGAAAGAGCAATTAATACTGTATCATCTTTGGGAGGGTGTCACATTCACAATAAATATGTTTACACTGTTCCAATAGAGATGAGTCCTGATTTTAATTTGCTTTTAGAAGTAGCAGAAGAAGAAAGATTTGTGAATGAAAAAATAATGCAAGAAAAGAAAGGTTGGACAAAGGAAAGGTTTTATCAAAAAATTCAAGTATTATAAAGGGAAGGATTGGTTTGGGCAGATAAAAAAACACAAACTAAAATTGTAGATTATTATTTCCCTTCTCTATTAAATACATATTTTGATCCTTTGAGAAGCTAAATGATTATATAATAATTGAAATAATGAGAAAAAGAGATCTGAAATTTTAATATCATATAANTAAGAAACATTAGAAACACTTGAAAAAAATGGAGGAGAAGATGCATATATTAATATTAAATATATGATACCAACATATGAAAGTTGTATGTTTTGATCATATAATATTTCATATGCGATTTATTCAAATATTAATTAAAAATTATTGTAAAAATCTAAACCTGATAAATTTTGAAAATAAGATTATATCATCCAAAATTTTTTAAGTATTTTTCATTCAAAAAATATAAAATTAAAAAATTAATATATTATTAAACTAATATGTTAAGATTGAAGGTAGAAAAATTTATGAATCAAAAAAGAAAGTTTGAAAGAGAACAGCAATTTTTCATTACTAGACAATAATATTTCAAGAAAATTGAAAATAATGACAATCATTTATTTTTGGAGGGGTTAGAGAAAGTAAATTTTGAATAAGCTGAGCAATATTACCAAAATTTTAGTGAAAACACATTTGAAATTATAAAGTCAGGCTTTATTTCTAAACTTTCTTACCTATTCATCTCAAATTAAAATTAAATTATGAAGTACTTCAACCTTCTCATACCTGCTCTTGTTATATTATGTAAAGAATCCTATTGTAAATTGATATAACAAGAACAAATTAAAGTTGTTCCTTTATTTATTGAAGTTATTAAACTTCAAGATATAGAATTAATTGATTATGCTTTAAATGGATTATCTATGTTATCAAAATATAAATTTGCAAATTTTTATACTGAAGAGCTAATATTATATTTAATAGAGTTAATAAATCTATAAGATTCAAATCTAAATGTAGCATAAATTTGTTAATTGATTTCGAAATGGCCAGAAGATACATTAACCAACAAGATAATTGATTAATTGTTTAGTCCAAGATTTCAAACTTCAATAAAATTTTATTTATTTATTGATTCTTGTACAATTTTAAATTTTCTCTTCAAATTACTAGAAAAACATTTGGATTTGTTTTTTATTGTTGATAATTAATTTATCTAGATAATCTCAAGATTATGTGATTAATCTAATTATGAAAAAACTGTTTAAGTATTTTATTATATAGAATAGGTATTGTATTTCATGAAACATTTTCTACTCTCTCAGAATTTAAGTCTTTCATAATGTATAGATTATAGTCCATTAATTCTAAGAGTTAAAACTATTTAATAAGCAGAAAATTCACTTAATTTTTTAATCGATGAAATTTTAAAGCTATTAAACTTATAGAGATTACCAAAAGAAATAAAAAAAAAAATAGAAATTCTCAATGAAATATGAATTATTTACTAATTTAATTATTTAATAATTTATAAAAAACTTTAAATTAGAAAGCATTAGATTTATGTGATATAAATGATTTTGCTAATCATAAATAATTAGTGCTTGTTTGAAAATAATAATATTTTATATATTTGATTAAGTATATTTGAATAATGTAGCATATTCACAAATGGATTGAAAGCAATTATGATAAATAATCTTTTCCATCATCCAATTTATCGAGGGCCTCTTCTATAAGATCGTTTCTTATATAAATAATCATTTCATCTTGCTCTTTACACTTCAGAATTTCAACTTATTGCATTTTAAGTAATTAAATGATAACAGTCTACAAAATGGCTTTTTTGTATTTAATTTATTTTACATTCTTTTTCATAAAGGAATATATCTATTATTCTAAGTGCTAATTCCCTCCTGACAAGTTAAAACAATGAAAATATATAGGTGTCAAAACAATATTGTGATTTGACTTTTAATTCTTACATTTTATTATAAATTAGAGGAACTTCAAACTAAATTCGCTTATCAATAATTTCAATTATAGACATATCCATTAAAAATACTAAATAATAATAAGAAAGTGTTGTACCTTTTCTATAATTTTAGATATTTAAAATATGATTTAAAACTACAAAACATAATTCTTCTTATTCTAATTACTCAAGTATTGAAGATGCTATAAAATTCATTCCCTAAACATATTTAACTTCTTTATCTAAGTTTGAATATGCAATTAGAATCCTTTTCAATTTATCTAATTTTTGCTAATCAACTTTTTCTGATTCCTAATTTTTATTTATTTAGCTAGAATCAGATGAACCAGATAAACTTTTTTTATTACCTTTTGATCGAAAACTTCTGTGAAGATCTTTATATATTTATTGCTCTGATGGTGACTCAAATTATAGTTTCTGGTATAATAAATTTTTGATTCTAGCTTTTTCTGTAAGCCAAAACCAAATTTAACATCTTAGATCAAGAGGAAAATTATGTCTTAAATTATAACTTAATTCTGAATAGCCTTAATCTTCAAAAGATCTTTTCATAATTTCTATCCATCGTTCTTTCGTAAACTTTGGACATATTTCACTGTTTCGTTGTTTAGGTTTTGATTTTGATCTGTTAGGAGATTCACCCGTTTTTATTCTTTTTGAATTACAACACATTATCATTATAAATTTGTATTGACAAGAATTAATAATATAAAAAAAAATATTGCCTATTTTTTTCTATTGATATTTAATCAAATCAACTATTTTTTGATAATTTATTTAAATATATAGATTTCTCGATGTAAAATAATAGAAATCAAAATAATCAAAATAATTAGAATAATTAGAATAATCAAGGAAAAAACAATAAGAAAAGAAGCAAAGGATAATAATAATAACATTAATAATAAAAATAATATTAATAATCTAAGTAATCTACTTCATAATAATAATATCAATAATAACCTGTTCAATAATTATCAAGAAACACAAAAGGAAGAGAATTTAGAAGAATAAAACAGGAAAGGATTGAAAGAGCAAATTAAAGAAAGCTAGAAAAATAAAATTAAGAATAATTTTTTACTTGGTTCTCCTCAATTTCAAACAATACTCCAACAATTCACTAGATTGTATCTTACTTTTAAGATCTAGAAAATCTAGATAACTTAGAAAATTTCTTTTCTAATTTAAGAATACATGCAAATTAATGTGAATCTTACATGATTTTAATGAGAATTTTAGGAGAATCTCCATATTAACAATATACAGATTTGATTCTTAGAAGCTAAAGTTTTAACACTCAAATTACAGAGAAATGCACTTTACTTTTAATATATTAGAACTCTATTTAGTATATGAATTAAGAATTGGAAATAATGTACAAATTATTTTCGAATTTAAAACTTAATGATTATACAACTTTAAAGTAATCTAGTATCTCTAGTTTATATAACCTTATGAAAATCATAGATCTATATAACCCACAACTTTAATAATAAGCTAGTAAGACTCTTACAAATTTTGATAATTTTTAAAAAAAAATATATTCAACTGCTAAATTATTAGAATGGAAATAAACTCCTAATTATCCAATAGCATTAGAATTTTTCTCATATAATAAGACACCTAATTAATTATTTGGAAAATTGGAAATTCTTCCTAAAGAAAATATTACATTTGATAGATATATTGATTATCATTATAACTTAATAAGAGAGGATTATATTTTAGAGTTAAGAGATGCAATTATTAGTTTAAATGAATCAGGATTTGAATGTATTGATAAAGAAAAAACAAATAACATAGGTTTATATTAAAATATTGAATTATTATCAGTGGGAATGAATAATTTTGATATAATTTGGAGGATTTAAGTTGAATAATTTAATATGGATGGCAGAAAATAAAAGCATATTAATTGGGCAAAATCAAAAAAACTAGCCTCTGGAACATTAATCTGTTTAACTAATATAGAATGCTATCCTTTAATTTTTGGAATTATAACAAAAAGAGATGAAAAATAATTTTAATATAAAAATGGAAAAATACAATTAGAATTTAGATTTCTTGATTAAAATACATCAGTTATGCAATTATTAAATTTATTTTCATAAAAAACAATACTAATGTAATATGAAGGTCTGATTGATCCAATACTTTATTATTTAGAAGCATTAAAATAAAAAGTGAGTTTGCCATTTTAAAAAATGATAATTGAAAATAAAAATGAAGTAAGTTATCCTACATATTTAAATAAAAATTATCATTTTGATCTAGATCTCTCATATAATAATAGATATTAAGGGATTAAATTTAATATATTTTAACAACCATGGCCTTAATTAAATACTTCAATGGATTAATCCTAAGTAAGTGCAATTAAATTAATGCTTCAAAAAGAAGTGGCTTTAGTTTAAGGTCCTCCAGGAACAGGTAAAACATATTGTGGAGCTCTTGCTGTAAGATTATTATATGAAAATTTGCAGAAAAATGATTTTCCTATATTAATAGTTTGTTATACAAATCATGCTTTGGATTAATTTCTTGAGCATATTTTAAAATTTGTTCCAATTGAAGAAGTGGCAAGATTGGGTGGAGCTTCCAAAAACCCATTATTAGAATAATGTCAAATTAAATCTAGATAGAAAGTTGAATTTGAGTTTAGAGATTTCAATAAGTTGAAGAAGGAGATAAGTACAATAATTCAAAGAATGTTAAATTATGACTATAAAATTAGACCATAAGATATTGAAAAATATTGGCCAGAGCTTTACAATTCAATTATATCAAATTTTTTTTAGGATAATGATTTAGATCAAGATTATTATATTGAAGAAAATGGAGATGAATTATTAGTGAAATATTGGATTAATTAATAAAAGCCTGAAGAAAATGTAATTGTATAAGGTTATTTAAATGGAATGCATAAATATTTTAAAATGGAAGAGTTCTATAGAAAACCTTAAGAATTTGTAAACTTATAAAAAACTCCTGGTTTAATATAAGTATAACATGATAGTTCAGATGAGGATTTGGATGAATATTTAGATTCAGAAGATGAAGCAATTTATCATTAAAATGGATAGAGGGAATTTAAGTTTGATTCACTTGGTATAGATTAGGCTATTAAACATTTTAATGAAACTCATTAGAATTAAAATTTATTACATTATTAATATTAGACGATTGAAAATATAAAAGGTTATCTTAATATGTAAAATAGTAATCCTTGGAAATTAAATGAAATTGATATTAGAGAAATATTAATATATTTAGAATGCCTTAAATATTAAAATGATAGCATTAAATTTGCTAAGTTATATAAATAATTTATTGAATAATCTAATATACTTAAAGATTTATATGATGAAAATGAAGTTCAAATATTAAATAGTATGAAAATTGTTGGTGTAACAGTAACAGGTGTAGCTAAATAAACAAATAAATTATAAAAATTAAATTCTAAAATTATGGTTATTGAAGAAGCTGCAGAAGTTTTAGAATCTCATGTAGCAAGTATTTTAACTTCAAATTTATAACATTTAATTTTAATTGGAGATCATTAGTAATTAAAACCATCAATAAAAAATTATTATTTATAAGAGAAATTTAAAGCAAATGTATCATTATTTGAAAGATTATTTTTGAATAAAATCCCAAGTGTTACATTGACTTAATAAAGAAGAATGAAAACTAAGTTTGCAGATTTTATACGTTTAATTTATGGAGAATCTTATTAAGATCATCCTGATATTTAGAAATAAAATTAAATTGAAATTCTAGGTTTAGAGAAAGATCTAGTTTTTTTTAATCATAAATGGCTTGAGGCTTAAGATGAAAAATCTAAAGAAAATAAATAAGAAGCTTAAATGATTTTTTAAATGATACAATATCTTTTAAAATGTGGTCATTAATAAACTTCAATTAGTGTTCTTTCATTATATTTAAAATAGGCCTAAGCTTTAAAAAGATAATTCTAAAATGCTGGGTAAAACAAAATTAAAGTATAAACAGTTGATAATTATTAAGGAGAAGAAAATGATATTGTGATAATATCTTTAGTGAGAAATAATAATTATAATAATTTAGGATATATAAAAATAGATAATAGAATTAATGTAGCATTATCAAGAGCAAGATTAGGTTTATATGTATTTGGAAATTTTGATTTTATTTTCAATTCTTCAACTCCTGGTAGTACATGGTAAAAAATGATACTATTGGCTAAGAGTAAGAATTGTTTGAATGATTATATAAACACAAAATGTATACCTCATGGAAACTTGTAAACAATAAGATAACCAGGAGATTGGAGTAAAATTAAACCTAAACTTTGTAATAAAAAATGTTTAAAGATTTTTTCAAATTGTAATCATTTATGCAATAAGGATTGTCATATTAGTGAAATTCATCCAGCAGATTCTTGTCCATTTTAATGTGATAGAATAATTGATTGTGGACATAAATGTAAATTATTATGTAGAGATAAATGTAAATGCAATGAGATGATTGACTTAAATTTACCTTGTAATCACAAAGTAAGGGCACTTTGTGGTACAGATCCATTAAGTTAAAAATGCTAAGAAAAACAAGAAATTTAATTTTCTAAATGCACTCATATAACAAATTTTATATGTTATGAAAGAGAGAAATATATATATAAATGTTAATAAATATGCCAAAAGAAACTATTATGTGGTCATATTTGTAATAAAATATGTTCAGTTGATTGTGGAATTTGTGTATAAGAATGTATAAAAGTACGTCCATGTGGACATAAGAATAAATGCAAAAATTTATGTTTTTAAGATTGTTCCCCTTGTGATACTCCAGTTGAAAATAAATTAAAATGTGGACATAAAACAAAATTTCCTTGTTTTTCTTAAAAATAAGACATATTAACATATAATTGTTAAGAACCATGTATAAAAAAGAGATAATGTGGTCATGACGAATAAAAATGTCAGAATAAATGCCATGAATAATGCTCTCCTTGTTAATAGTAGGTCTCAAGAAAATTAAAATGTGGACATGAAATAGATGTGAGATGCCATGATGCTGATCTTATCGTTTAAAATTTCAAATGCTTATCAAAATGTCAAAAACCAAGATAATGTGGACATAATTATGAATGTAATAATTAGTGTCATTAAAAATGTTCACCTTGTTTATAAAAGATAGTAAAAAAACTTACCTGTGGTCATTAAATTGAAATAGAATGTTGTAAAGTTAATGAAGTATAATAGTGTAAATAAGAGTGTATAAAACCAAGGGTATGTAAACATGTTTAAAAATGTAAAAATTTATGTTTTGAATAATGTTCACCTTGTGAATAAGTAATTGAACATACTTTCGAATGTAGTCATAAACATAATTTTTATTGTCATTCATATAACAAGTCAATTATTAATTTCAAATGTGATTAACCTTGTCTATTAAAAAGATCATGTGGACATACATCTCCATGTTTATCAAAATGTTATTAAAAGAAATGTTCTCCTTGTTTAGAATTGATACAAAAAAAACTTGATTGTGGTCACATTATAGATATAAAGTGTTATGAATAAAATGAAAAGTAAAAATGCCAAAAACCTTGCAATAGAATTAGAAATTGTGGTCATATCTTTCCATGTAAAAGATTATGCTTTGAAACATGTGATCCTTGTTAATAGGATGTTCTTAAGCCTTTAAATTGTGGTCATTAGTAATTAATTAAATGCAATATAAAATCTGAAAATATTATTTGCAAACAAGACTGTATAAAAAGTAGGTAATGTGGACATTAATATCAATGCACTAATTTATGTTATTAAGAATGTACACCTTGTAAATAGATACTTTAATAAAAATTAAATTGTGGACATATGATAGAGGTTGAATGTTGTTAATCTAAAAAGATATAATTAGATTATTAATGTCAATAATAATGTATTAGACGTAGAGATTGTGGTCATGATTTTCCTTGTTTTAATATGTGTTTCAAAAAAGATGATTGCACTCCTTGTCAATTTAAAACTTATTAAACTTTGGATTGTGGCCATTAATTTTTAATACTTTGTTATTAAAAAGCATAAAAAATAAAAGTATTATGTGATTAATCTTGCAATAAAAAAAGACCTTGTGGACATAACACAATTTGCAATAATAAATGTTATGAGCCTTGTTCTCTATGCTATGAATAATGTGAGATTACATTACAATGCGGTCACAAAAGAATGGTTAATTGTTATTAAAAAAATGATTTAAGTTTCTTGAAAGAACTTAAATGTATGTTTCCATGTAATAAAATTTAACCTTGTGGTCACAATTAGATTTGCACAAAAAAATGTTATTAATAATGTGATCCATGTTAAGTAGAAGTAAAACTACCTCTTAAGTGTGGCCATCTTTAAAAAGCTATTTGTTATTAGAACCCAGATACGATAGAATGTCTTAATATTTGTAAATTAAAATTAAATTGTGGTCATCCATGTAAATCAAAATGTGGAAAAGTATGTTAAAAATGTGAGGAACCAATCCTTAAAATATTTCCACAATGCTAACATCAAATATTAATCAAATGCTATGAGAATTAATAGCAATTAGTTTGTAGATAATAGATTCCTTACATATATAGTTGTGGTAAACACACTATATAAGTTGCATGTTTTTCAGCATCAAAATAAAGCCCTAAATGCTAAAAATGCAATGATTGCATTATTTTCTGATTGATTATAAATTTTTTTTTGCCTGAAAAACATTTATTCTTTTTTTAATCTTAAAAATAAGAAATTATTAATTAATTATTAAAATCTTATATATATTATTTAGAATTCATTAACATTTATTTAAATGATTATATTAAATGATTTAACTTTTATCTTCAGTGAATTTAAATTTTTGTCTATTTTTGAGATTATTAATACAAAATATTATGTGTGTTGGAAGATTATTATTCCAATAATTATTAATGACTAAAAAAAAGTTGTTTCATCTAAAACAAAAACTAATTATAATTCTGTAATTAAATTTTAATTTAAAATATGAAATGATATTATAATATTTTTTATTAGTTAAACTTCTGTTTATATATTTTTGTTTATGATTTGTTCTTTTTACTAAGTAGTGTTTTTACATAATAAACATATTGAAAATAAAAATTTATTATATTAATCATTTAGAAATGGGTATATGCTCTGGAAAACAGCAAAAAATTAGACAAGGCAAACATCAATTAAGTGAAATAAAACGATTTGCTAAATAAAACATTAGATAGTTTTACAGATTTGGAAAGGTTTTAGGATCAGGAAGTTTTGGTACTGTAAAAGTGGGTTACAGTGTCAGAGATTCAAAAGCATTTGCAATAAAGACTATTCATAAAGTAAACACGATGGTCCAAGTAGTATCGAATGCGAGAATAATTCTACCTTGTACTTAGAGAGTTAGACATCCTTACACAATTGGATCATCCAAATATAATTAAAGTATTTGAAGAGTATGAAGATGACATGTATTATCACTTTGTAATGGAATATTGTAGTGGAGGAGAATTGTTAGAAAGAATAGTGGAGTAAGGTATTTTAAATAAAATTATTATCAATTATAGGTAATATTGGAGAATCTGAATCTAAAGAGATTATGCAATAGTTATTTTCATCAATTAATTATCTTCATTCTATGGGAATAGCTCATAGAGATTTGAAACCAGAAAACGTTTTATTTGCTTCTAAAGAGAAAGATGCACCTATAAAAGTTATAGATTTTGGTTTGAGTAAGAAATTTAGAAATATTAATCAAAAAATTTAGAGAATGAATAGTAAAGTAGGAACTCCAATTTATGTTGCACCTGAAATAATAGCTGGAGAGTAATAAAATAGATTTAAATTATAGTTATTCTTTTTAATGTGATGAATGGTCTTTGGGTTGCATCATGCATGTATTACTTTGTGGTAATCCACCCTTCTAGGCTAAGAAATTAGATATGTTAGAAACTAAAATAAAACATTCTGATATTGATTTCTCTTTTTCTGTTTTTGAACATATATCTCAAGATGCTAAAGATTTGATTAAAAATTTATTAATAAAATAACCTAAAAAGAGAATAACATGTGAATAGGCATTAGAACATTAATGGTTTAAAAATATGAAATAAAGTTCTCATTAATAACAATTGTCTAATAATTAACATTAAAAAATAATCAGATTATTACATACTTATGCTAATTCATCTAAATTAAAAAAAGAAACACTTAAAATATTAATAAATTAACTTACAGAAAGTTAAATTTCTTAATTAAAGAATGTTTTTGTATCTTATGATAAAGATTGCAATGGCACAATATCTATTTAAGAACTTTTATAAATTATGTCAAATCTAGGATTTAAGGAAAGTGAAGAAGAACTTGTTTAGATGATTAAAAAATTTAATAATATCCATCCTTTTAATGATGATATTACTTAAGATACATAAATTACCTATACTTCATTTTTGAGTGCTTTAGTAAATTGCAAAAGTTATTTAAATAAAGAAAGATTATGGAATCTATTCAAATACTTTGATAGTGATAATAAAAACTTTATTACTATTGAAGATGTGAGAAAAGCCTTTGAAAGGGAAGGAAGGCAATTATCTTAATCAAAATTGGTTTCCTTATTTTCAGAAATACTATAAAATGAGGAACAAAAAATTATAGATTTTGAATAATTTTGTCAAATGATGTAAGATAATCTATATAACAGTAATAATGATAGTAAAAATTTAGAAAAAGAATTAGATTGTTTTGAAAATTGATAAAATATATAATATATTTAAAACTATATTTAATTTATAATCTTATATGAGATAATTTAATTTAATAAAATGTATGATTTGATTATCAAACTTCACAAACCAATTCAATAACATCAAAAATAATTTCAAATGATAAATTAAATTTTGATCCTTATTATAATTAAAAAGGGGAACTATTTAATTATTTTTCACTTAATCTCAACCATGTTCCATTTTTACTCTCTAAATCATTAATCATTAATTTTACACATCCAATCTTAAAATTATACTCATAATTTATTTCTAAATGTCTTGCACTCATTAATTTATTGCATCTATTATATTAAATTATAAATTAACTGAGAATGCATAAATGTGAAATTATTTTTTGATTTTTCTCTTCCGATTAAAAATTTATCTCCCTTTTTTAAATAAATTTATTTGTGCTTTGCTGCTCCTTCATGTTCATATCGTACTTCTAAGAAACCACTTTCTGTATTAATTTCTATTATTTTAAATGCAAATCTATTTCCAATATAAAATGACATATTTTTCTCTATTACAAAATTGTGATTTATTTTAATAAAGGTTCCCCCTTTTGAACCAACATCTAATAAATAAAAGGCTTCTAATTATGAATTAAAATATTTTATACTTTCTTTATAAAATATTTAGCAATGCTTACTACTAATTTTAGAATGATCAGTAAATGCAAAAGTGCATTCATCACTTCTACCAAAATAAGCACCTTAGATATTCACTATCTTAAGCTAATAAAATTTATTTAATTAAATACTTTTTATTATTCATCACATTTTAATTTTAAATGCGTAGATTAAAATAATTGAAATGGATCGAAAATTGGAGTTAAACTTAGTTTTTATAATCTTTATAAAATTTATTCTTTTAAAGATTATTGCTGTTATATCTAATTATTTATAATACTATAAGTACTCTACTCTTTTAAAATCCTATTCCTCAATAATCTAGTTAATTTAAATTGATTTATTTAAAATTTATGATTATTATAAAAGTTCAGATTATTAAAGAATTGTTGATTATTATAATAAAGCAGATTATCCCATAATTACAGATTCTTACATTAACTATTATTATTATTATTGTTATTATTATTATTATTATTATTATTATTATTATTGTTATTATTCTTAAAATATCTACTACTAAATAATCAATACTATAATATTACTGATTACATCATTAGAATAGACTATTACATTTATTGATTCTCTACTATGTCCTCTTCTTAATTTGATAATTATTAAGATTGTTCTTCCTAAGATTAATTAACATTTTCAGTTGATTCTATATCTTCTTCTATTTGAACTTATGTTTCTGTATATTATAGATCTCTATCTTATTCATCTACATAATCTTAATCTTATCTAATTAATATATTTCTATTATTACATCAAAATTGACTCTTTTAAATCTGTATTAACATAATTTCCTAAAATATTTCGTTTTGCATTATAATTCTTTAATTACATCCATTAGTTATTTCTTTAGGATTGAGGAGAAGATTTAGCAGATTAAGTTACATTTGGATGACTAAACTACTTCTTGATATTTGTATCTACATTTTCTTCAATAACCATCATTTTAATATCTAACATCTCTGTTTTATGTCTCTATTAAATTATTATTATAATGTATATACGTGAGACTTTGATAAGTTTCTTGATTCACTCAATTATTAAATATTTCTATTTAATTATTATTATGCTTTAGCTGCTTTTTAAAAATAATATAATGATAACCAATTTATTTCACTCACTTTTCTCTATCCAATATTTTTATATTCATTATAAGATTCTTAATTTTTATATGCTGTAAAACTCAGTATTTACAATAAATAATGTAATAAATTAACCAATTAATTTATTTAATGATATTTACTAGCTGTTTACATAGTATCTCTAACCATACTTTATCTATTTCTTACTAAATCATTTTAAGTTTTTGATGAATCTTCTTAATTTAAAAGTAAACATTTAAGAAATAAATTCTCACCTTTAAAAGGAGGATTTACTAACAATAATAAAACAAATCCATCTATCTAATTTTGATAAAGAAGTGGGTAATAATCTTGAAATTTAATTACAAATAATAAAGCTTTAATATCATCCATATCCCAAAACAAAGGTGTTTAATCAATTTAAGGCAAATGAGATATGGATTTTAATAAAAGATTTATAATATCTGAACTAATAAAAATAGAGGACTTTCTATTATTATTTTAGATGGTTTTCATTTCATATATACTTTTTATATAAATCTCTATTTCATATAAAATATTAGATAAAACTGAACATGAACAACTTATTTCTGCTGTACAAGTTTTACATTTCTATTGGAAAAATAATTTTGATCCATAAAGCTTTTTCAAAATTTCTCTATAATTCTGATACTTCAATAATATAAGAGACCAAATCTTTAATTTTTATATTTGATAATAGAGATTTATGTCAATAGAATGACTAATCAACTTAAATAAATTTTAGGCGATGCAAACTTCTAAAATCTGTTCATATTGTTTAGTACAAATATCAAGTAAAGGAATTTATAATCTTTATCCATCAGTTGACACTTCTTATTAATAGTTTTATGATCTTTATTTGGGGATGGTTTGAATCTAAAATCAATTAATTATTGTTGATTTACTGTGACAATGGGAATTGCCCAAGTTAATCCAACAAACTCACAAAAATAATGAACTTGTTGTTCATTCCATCTATAAGGAGCATATTTAAATTTTTATAGTAACCAAGAAACAATAGTATCTAATTGTCTGATATTCATAATATATTAATATAATTTAATATTTGTAAAAACTACAATCATTTTCTTTGATCAAGAATGTTATTTGATTTATATAATGTCATCTTTACATTATTTAGATGTAGTTTTCATATTTATGTACTTAACTAACAATTATTTCTAAATAAATGAACTCGCAAACTTATAATATAATTATATTTTTGGAGTAAAATAAAATATTATATTATTAATGTATTTGTATTTATAAAATTATAATTGAATGGTTAGGTTCTATTTCTTATTAATATAGATAGGAATTTAATATAATATAAGTGAGATATTATGTCTACATCCTAAGTTAGTAAAAATTATTTATTTATTTTTAATTCAATAAAATGACTCAAAATTAGATGGTTATAAAAATTAATTTATTAGTTTTAATTAGAAAGGCTATTTACTTAAATTATGATGTATCCAATATTTTTACATATTTTTATCAATTGATTTAGAGAAGAATTATTATACAAAATCTGTATTCTAGTATATATTATGTATTTTTAACATTATATTTAAGGTTTTAATATTTATTTTTACAATAAAATTAATTGAAAAAAAAATGAGCAATTATTTTTTAAATTCAGGACTTAAAAGGGATGGGCAATTGAAATTAGTACCTGAACATGTTCGTTTTAATTTAACATAGCTAACTCCATCTGATGTTGGGATAATTTAATTTTAATTAATTTTAGCAGAATAAGAATAAAATATTATTGAACTAATTGATATTCATGATAACCTTGGAAATCCTTTGATTAAAATTACTTTAAAATAAAGAGAACTTTTAATTCAATACTTAGATAATACTTACAAATTTGAGATCCAATAAATTATTTTATATAAGTTGTATCCAATATTTATATCATTCCATGATGAGATAAGTTTAATTACAAATTTCAGTATTTAAAGTTAAAAACTTTAATAAAGATTCACCTATACATCTAATAAAGTGGGTATATTTTTAGGAAGTAAAAGTAATTTGAATGCTTTTACAGGGATAACTAGAAATTTATAGATAAGATTTGTAAGAGAAAATGAATTAAAAATGCAAATGGAAGGTGAAATTAAGATTTAAAAATCTATTCTTAATGATTTAAATGATATTGGATAGATAAAATATAAATTACCATTTAGCAAACCATTATAATCAATAGAAGAATTAGATAATTGGAAACCTAATGAGGAATATACAATACTTCCAATTTAATAACTAAAGAAAATTACAAGAACAACAAATTAACCTCTCTTAGTATGTCATGATATGTAAGGTGGATATAAGGAAGATATATGGTGTTTTGGAAATCCAATGAGATAAAATAGTTATCGCTTTTATTATATGACCCATTGTGATATTTTTGTGTATTTTTCACATACTTTTATTACAATTCCAAGTGTTCCATATATAAATATTTGTCATTAATTTGGTACTAGAATATTAGGTACCATTATTACAGAAGGGAATGATAATACATTGACTAATTAAATATTAAATTTAAAATATGTAGATAAACTAGTTTAGATTTGTTAATTCTATAAATTTGATGGTTATTTATTGAATATAGAAACAAATGTTGAAAATGTAGATTTATTTATTCAATTTATAAAAGAATTAAGTGATAAATTATAATAGATAGGAGCTATTTTAATATATTATGATAGTCATAATGCTGAAGGAAATTTGAAATGGTAATCTGAATTGAATTAAGACAATATGAAATACTTTTAAGCTTGTAATTATTTTTTTAGTGATTATCATTGGAATTTGAATAAATTGTCGAATACAGAAAAGAATGTTGGAAATTAGAGGAATAATGTTTTTGTAGGAATTGATATATGGGGTAGAGGATAATATGGAGGTGGATAATTTGATAGTTATATAGCATTATAAGAGATAAAAAGAGCATAATTAGCCACAGCCATTTTTGGTTAAGCTTGGACATATGAGACTTCAAATGATAGTAGGTCATAATTTATTTAAAATGATAATTCATTATGGTAAGGTAAAAATACTGTATCTTTATTTGATAAACATAAAAATTAATGGGCAATCACTTTTAATGGAGGAAATGGATGGAAAATTATATAAGAAAATGGAGAAGAGACTGCAATTTCATCATTTGATTGGTGTGTAAGAACATATACAATTTAATTAAATTTAGTATCTTCAAATAAAGGAGGTATTATATAATTCAATGCAAAAGTAAAAGGAACTGGTCCAAAATTTGATGATTTATATGTAATTTATAATAATATTTTGATTAGCTGATTGGGATAGAATTATATGATAGAAATAATAGATGTATTGCTAGTATAGATTCATTTTCTACAAAAGTAAATAAGAGAGAAATTTAATTTAATGTTGATTCTGTTAATATTGCAGATGATAAATGGAGAGAACATACTTTAAGTATTAAAACTACTGATGATACATAATATGTCAAATTTATAGAAGTTGGAAAAGATGTTGAATATTGGGCTGGTAATTATGGTACTTAATTCACTGGTGAATCTATGGTTTATATTAGTTATGATAGTAATAAAGATTTATTGAGAATGTTAAAACCAAAAACATATTAAGAATTCCCTTTATAAACATATTTTAATAATGCTGTTGGAGAAGCATATTATATTGATGGTCAAAAGAATTCACATTATAAGGGTTACTATGATAATTTGAATGATTTTGATTATACTTTATGTTATCCAACAAAAAAGATTATCAGCTAAGATATACAAGATAATTGGGAAAGTAGTATAAATTTTAGTGATTCATGGAATGGAAGTAGTTGTATAAAAATTAAAGGAGATTTATAAGTTCATAAAAGTTTTCTTGTTAAATTATACAAAACTAGGATTGATCCTTAAGGTAATATCAATGCAAGTATTAATATGAAATATTTTGATAAAAAGATATTACAGTTAAGTCTGGTTATGAAATTTGCAGATAAGGGTTTATAAATTTTTAAACCAACCAAAATATTAACAAATAAGGGTTGGGATATTGCATAATATATAATTTTAAATTAAGGAAAAAGTTTGAAATCTATATATCTAAAGATTGAAAACATTTCTTAATAATAATAAGCAGTTGATGGCCTTATTGGAGGTTTAGCTATTTATGATGATAAATATACAGAATAAATGAAGAGTGCTAATGTAGATTTCAAAGATCCAACTAAATATATTAAGAATATTTAGTTAAAGGAAAGTATTACAAATCTCTATGATTTATATATTTAATTAGAATTAGGTGAATTAGGACCACTCCTTAAAACTATCAGAATTTTTAAGTATATTTATATATATAACTATATAGTGATAAATAATGGATTGGAAATGTAAGATCTAATTATGCTTATTTCCCTGAACTCCCATTTGATGGAAAAGAAATGTTTGTGAGATTGTAGATTGTTTTAAATAATGGAAATCACATTAAGGCTGAGTCTGTTCTACCATATATCCTTTATTCTGATTAGGTTGTTAGATTGCCATGAAATATATATTATTATGCATTTAATTCCAAAATTGACTAAATTAAACAAATCTCAAGAAGACATTTCTGCTATTCAAGATCATTTAAGTTAATTACCTTAATTTCAAGCACCTTATGAAGTCTTAAAAGATGTACTTTTAAATTAAAAATATAGTTATGTAAAACAATAGGATATGTTTATTTTGAAACTGGTCAAGTAGTCTAATAAAATAATAAATTTGCATTCTATGTAATAAAGGGATTACTCTAAACAGAAGACAATATATAAATTCAACCTGAAATGTGGTATGAAGGAGATTTAGGTTTTGAAGTTAAAGTATTCTTTTATTTATATTCAAATTTAGTAAGATACTCATTGTTTTGCATTACCAATTGATTTATACAAAAAGTTTAGTTCTAGTCATGGTGTTTTGTATTAATAAAAGAAAAAATCACTTATAGCCAATTTACCTATCATTGAAAAAATTGCTCCTAAAATATAAGAATAATTAATCAAACTATTCTAGGAAGTCAAATTTGCCCATACAGACTTCATTTAGAAAATGGATGAACCTGGAAATGCATTATTTATTTTATAATATGGAGTTTTAAGTTTAAGCAAAAATTATTAAAAAACTCTATCTCATTATGAAAAATAAGTATTACCTAGAAAATTTTGGTTTAATGAAATTGTAATATGTGAATTAAATGATCAAGGTGTTTTAGGAGAAGAATTCACTCAATAAGAAAAAGCTTTATATAATGTTTAAGTAATATCAAAATATGCTTCTCTATTAATGATATCAATATAACAACTTAAAAATATTTCTCCATAAGTTTTTCAATCAGTATGTAAAATGTTTAAAGATAAAACTATTTTGAGAGATGAAATTTATAAATAAAAATGTCAAGAATTAGAAAAAAATTGGTAAAATACAAATAAAGATCAAATGCTAAATTAAGATATAAAGAAAACTATTTCTTTTAAAGTACTTTCTAAATAACCTTCTGCTTGTCAAGATTAATAAAGCTAAACTAATGATGATCAATTTGGAGCTCTATTAGGAAATTTATCTTATAAAAAAATGCCTACCTTCATTTAATAATACTTCAGATAAAAGCATCTTAAGGTTAAAAAACGACAAGATTAACATCAATTGAATAATTCGAATTCAAATTCAAATTCTATGAATCATATGGATTCAACTTTTGATCCATATATTTTACTTTAAAAAACATAACAAAAAATGCTTGTTTAATAACATTCCTTAAAATAATAAAATGCTTTGCGTTTAACAAAAACAAGATAAATGGATCGAAAATCTGAATAAACAAAATCACAATAAATAAGACCCAATACTTCTCAAATTATGGTTTAATAACAATTTTCTTTAGGATTAACTTAATAATAATAGCAATCCTTCAATTAACTAGGAAGTGGTTCTAGATAAGAATTAACCTTATAGAAAAACATCTTATAGAATTTTCATACACCAAAACCAATTATCAGATAGTTAAAAAGAATGTATAGAAGTTCCTCTGTTCATAAGATTGATGATCCTCCATTCTCTCTAATACCTTAACTAAAAAATAAAAGTAATTTTAATAAATAAATAGCCCCTAGAGATAATATGTTCTATCTAAATTTATAGCAAAATTATTCAGGTTAAAGAATTAAAGTCAACTAATTATTGCATAATTCTATAGATTGATTTATAAATATAAAAATAATAATTTCATGGAAGTGATAATGGTTTTTCTAAAACTAGAGACATTTCAGTTTAGTAGTATCCTAGAAAAAATAGGATAAAAATTATAATCAAATTTCTTAAATTAATTTTATATAAATATTTTCAGACCTATAATCATTTTTATGTCATTTCTTTTTTGGAATAATTGGAGCATGAATAGATGGGATTTATTTTATTTATTGGCTTTATGTGTGTTTATGTGTAGGTGTTTATTAGATAGGTTTATTAGGAACTATTTAGAGTTTCAACCCTTTTGTTTTTGCTGGATCTCTTACACTCATTCTTTCAGCTTAGGTTTTAATTTCATCAATTTCATCAATATCATCAGTATCATGCATCTTTGGGCTTGGTGATGCAGACAGAGACCTTGCAGGACTTGAAGGTAATCTCTAATTAAGTTATTTATCAAGTTTTATTATCATTTAAGTAATTTAAATGAATGCATATGAAACTGAATATTAATTACTAAATTAATGAATTGATTTTACTCTTATTATATTTCATTATATTTTTGAATCCAATAATTAGCTATTTGCATATTTTTTGATGTAATCTAATTTTTATTAATAAAGTCTTTAAATTTCTTTAAGTTTTCTAAGAATTTCTCAACATCATTTAAAAACATATTTAATAAACTCCAATTAAGTTTCTATATTTATAAATTGATTTACCTTTTCATCCAATAATTCACAAGGTATCTCTCGTATAAGACCTGCAAACAAGGAGACAAGAGCAGCAGTTGCAAAAATATTCATATAAGATGGATTAACCATTTTTTATAAAAGCTAAATTGAATGAAATATATTATTACATTAAGAGCTCTATGATCAAGAGCATTGACTTAGTCTAGAACATTTTAAAAAGTAACCACTTATGGCTTAAGAGATTATCTATTAAAATTGCCTCGAAACATTAAATGTTATTAAAATTGAGAACAATTATTAAAAACTCAATTTATATTAATAATCAATTTTTTAATAATACAATACTTGAAATTAATACAATTTAACTTAGCATTACACACAGAAAGGTCCTTAAAAACCTTTCAATGGAATTTACAATTACTTTAAGCTAAAGCTATTTTTTCTGTAAATCTACTTAATTAATGTTACTTTGTATATAATCAGCTTTCTTATTTAAATATATATAAATATAAAAATATTAATAATAATAATATTTTTCTCCACTATAAATTGTAATAACTCAAAACATATCCTGCTATTGATTCTCTTAGATTGGTTCACTTATTTAATTATCATCTTAATGATTATCTGCTAACAAATCTTCATCATCTTTTTGTTCTTAATTGTTAACATTATCATTCTTAAATTAGTTCTATTCTTCTTAATTTTAAACAACTTCTTATTATTATGTAACTTATTCTTAATGATTATCTTATTATTGATCATTCTATTCAGAATGGTTTTCTTTTGAAGATTTCTCGGCTGAATGTTATTCTTAAGATACTTATGCTTTCTATTATTCTTATTAAAATTATTCATCAGTTTAATGTTAATTTCCAGGTTAAGATACTGTTTTAGAACCTTTTTTAACTATTTTTTTCTCATCTTATTTAGTTTCCACTTTTTTTTCAGGTTATTTAGAATTAGTATTTTTTTATGCTCCATTCTATTTTTATTCTTGTTATTTTTCATTCTTTTTTGGTGGCTCTTTTGTTTTATCTGTTTAAGGGGCTTAAGGTTATTAAGGTTATTTATTTGGTTTATTTTTATCAACTTTCTTTTCATCCTTCTTTTCTTCTTTCTTTTCTTCCTTTTTCTCATCCTTCTAAGAATTTGCTTATTTTTATTGTTAATCTAAATAAAATATAACAATATACCTTAATTTGAAGTCTTTGTTTCTTTTTAATCCTTTTATTCTGGCTACTTAACAGGCTTTTGTTTAAGCTATTGAGGTTACTACTAATGTTATTACGTAGTTTTAGGTTGCTTTTCAAGAGGTTATTCTGGAGATTTTGAAGTAGCTAAATTTTTAATGATCAATTTACTGTTTTCCGCTTCATTCTTAATTGTCTTATCTACTATTACACTTTGGCTTAAATTCTTGCTTCCTGTTTATGGTTTTTATTCCTTTTATTTATTTTACTCAGTTTTTTATTAAATTGCTGTTTGAGGTCGTTCTGGCTTTTTATGATCTAATTTTCCAGATATAATCATTTTTACCATTATTGTTACCATTATTTTCTTGTTTCTATTATTGTTTTCCTTATTCTAATTATAATTTAAATCATGATACTTTTGTCATCAAATGGCTTAAGAGTAGAAACTAATGTCTTGAGTTGACTGATTTCTCCTGTCAGAAATTTGATTTGATCTTCATTCTATTAATCCTTTTATTTTAATTCTTCAATTTTCTCAAGGAGTGGCTTGACTGCTTCTTGTAGGTAGAGCTCAACTTCTGGAGAAATCTATTGCATATCCAATTTCAAATTTATATTATAATTTTTATTTTTTTACAAAAGAATATTTATTTCTAAAATAAATGTGCGTCATAAAAATTAAAAAATAATTTATTTTTTTCATTAATCATTCAAGATATTAGTAATTTGTAAGATCAACATCTTCCTTACAAACTGGGCAGAATTTTGATTTCAATAACCATTATTTGATACAATCATAGTGAAATTAATGATTACAATCTAATCTTATATCTGCAGCTTCCTTTTAGGGTTATATATCTTCCATACAAATAGTACAATTATCTGTAGCATTTATTTATACTCTTTTCATATCTAAATTAAATATTTTGCTTTCTAATCCAACCTAATTATCTAAATCTAATTAAGTAAATAATTCATAAATTTATTCAGGAGACAGTTAATTAACTAGGTCATCAGTAATCACCATACCAGGTTTGTATTCAAATTATAAATTAATTTTATCTCCATTTACTTTTCTGTTTTTATTTGATGTATTATCTTTCTTTTTTTTAACTTATTCTTATCTACTTGGAGGTTATTTTTAACTTTATTATGTTATATATGTACCTCTATTTATTTGTTTACTTTTATTAAACTTAAGGTTCAATCTTTTTGGAATTCTAATAAAGTTTATAATCTATGCTAACCTTTTAAATTTGAGGTCTTTCTTCTAAAACCATTTATTCTGCAATTAAATATTAAAAATTATCTTAATTATTTTAATTTTAAATTTTTAAATCATTATTTTTTGGTTCTTCTTATTTAATTTTAATATTTTTAATGTCTTACTTAAATTATTTATCATGCTCTTATAATCGATTTTATTGTTATTATTTCTAATGTTATTAAAATTGAGTTTATTTTTAAGGTTAAAATTATAATTAATTTTATTATAATGATTAATTAATCTATAACTATTAAGACTCTATTTAAATTTGTTATTGTTACTATTCTTACTATAATTACTACTTTTACTGTTACTATTATTATTACTATTATTACTGTAATTACTATTGTTATTATTATTACTATTACTACTATAATTATTATTTTTATTATAATTATTATTATTACTACTATGATTAATATTTCTATTATTATTATTATTATTATTATTATTATTATTATTATTATTATTATTATTATTATTATTATTATTATTATTATTATTATTATTATTATTATTATTATTATTATTATTATTATTATTATTATTATTATTATTATTATTATTATTATTATTATTATTATTATTATTATTATTATTATTATTATTATTATTATTATTATTATTATTATTATTATTATTATTATTATTATTATTATTATTATTATTATTATTATTATTATTATTATTATTATTATTATTATTATTATTATTATTATTATTATTATTATTATTATTATTATTATTATTATTATTATTATTATTATTATTATTATTATTATTATTATTATTATTATTATTATTATTATTATTATTATTATTATTATTATTATTATTATTATTATTATTATTATTATTATTATTATTATTATTATTATTATTATTATTATTATTATTATTATTATTATTATTATTATTATTATTATTATTATTATTATTATTATTATTATTATTATTAATATTGTTATTATTATTATTTCTATGACTATAAATGTCTTATATTATTTTATTCAAATGGAATTGCTTAAATTACTCGAGGTTTTCTGTACTAATAAGCTTAAGAAGGATACATTTAGTATTGTTATTATTAATGAATATCTTAATTTTATTATTTATCTTTTAGAGATTACATTTCATAAGGATTATTTAATGTATAAATTTAGTTTATTTATTCATAATGGAACCCATTAAATTAATTTAATTAATTAGCTTTATCAAATTAACCATTTTCTAATTTTTTCTCATCTGATATTTGTTTTTGTTTTATTAGTTCTTCATTTTTCATTTAACAATAATTATTTTGAGGATAATTTTGTACTTACTTTTATTTTTCAACTTATAAATTTCTTGAAATTTGATTATTATGCTGCTAAACAATTATTTAAGGATTATCTACTAATTAATTTTCTAGATTCTTTTGAATAGAATTATTTTAAACATAATCAAAATCTTTTTAAGCAGCCTCTTATTATTTAGAATTTTAAATAGTACATTTTTATGAATTTTTAAAAGTTTGAGCTTAAGATTACACTGTATTAAATACCATATTTTGTTAGATTTGTTAAGAGTTTAAATCGTTTTTTTATATATTCTTTTCAATCTATTCTTAAGAATTAAAGTTGTGTTTATTTTTTTATTCATTTTTTTAGAAATTTAAATCATCTTTATATTCTCTTTATTCCTAGGTTTTGTTAATGCATTCTTACTTGTCTAAAGATAGCGTCTTTATTTTAACCATTTAGATTATTGGACTAAAAGACTTGTTTTATTTAAGATGGAACTTCTTTATTTTGAATCTGAATTTCCTGTTAAGTTTTAATTTATTAAATAGGATCAGATGGGTTTGGCAACAAAAATATCTTTGATTCTATTTTATTTTATTGAATAAGCATAGCTAATTGCTCATCCAATAATTCTTAATCCTTATTTGATATAGTAATTGCACAAATTGCTTAATGATTCCTAATCAGAGATTAACTAATTAATTTATTGCAATTCAAGCATTTTTCCTAGTTAATTTATTGAATAGGTCTAATTGATTATTTTTAATGAAACATTATTTATATTTATATTATTATCTAATAGAAATAATCAAGTCTTATTTTCAAGTTATCATCTAACAATTAGAAAAGAATTAATTAACTAGTTATCATAATAAACACAGGGATTCAGTTCAGTTCTACAAATGCAACAAGATATATTTCTATTTTCTTTTCGAGCCTAAATAATTAATTCTTATATGTCTTCAAAGCAAAAAGTATGTCCACATTGTAATGGAATCAATTTTTTATTTTCTAAACATATTGGACAATTTTCAGAATAATATATTTTAGTATAATTCTTAGGAACAAAATTCTGTATTTATTTTTCAACTTATTAGTCAAAGACGATTAAAGCATTCATCCTTTACATTTTTGGAAGTTCTACATCATCATAATCAGATAAATCATCATCATGTTAAATATTATTTTCAATATTAGTAGTATTAGACAACAGCTGGCTCATTTATTAACTTATCAGTTGATAATTAAATTATTTCAATATTTAATATTTAATTATGATAAAACAGAAATTTAAATTCTTCTATAAGTCTCTATAATCTATTCCATGTTGATAAATTCTTTTGAATTACTCTTGAATAGACAAATAATAAGTCATCTAATGGATTAAAAGATCTTTACCAACCAATACGAATTATTTATCAGATTATTTGGAATAAAAATTATGAATTAGAACTTATATGCCCATGATTAATAGAGATTAACAATTAACATCATCATTACTAATATATTATAATGTATTATAAAAGTAATGTAAAAATTAAAAGTTTCACAATATATGAAAATGTCATAACAAAAAGGATTGTTATATTCAAAATTGTAAGGTAGTTCAAAGAGTATTGTACTTTTTATAATAATGGAACACGAATTAGTAATTTTAATTAAAAGAAATTTCTAGGTTTTTAGAAAAATTTAAATGAATTGTATAAGAAATTCAATGAATAAATAGGAATTATATAATGTCATTTGATGGGGATGGCTTTAATAATTCTAATATAATTAAAATTTTTTGAAATAAGGATGTGTATTAGTAATAAAAGAATTTAAATTTATTTAATTTCAACACACGGATGAATTTAAATGTAAGATTTAAGCATAAGAAGTTGTGAGAAAATATTAAGTGTATATAACTATATGTACAAAAACAAAATTTATAGTTTAAATTTCAACAGGTTAAATTGTTATCTTTTTAAACGGTATTCATCTGAGTAATTTTTAGTTCTTATAATTATTTAAATGACTCAATAAATTAGTATTATCTACATATTGGGCAACAAACTATATTCTGCTTTAACTCTGAATCAGATAGTAAATTATTGATGTCATTCTAACAAAAAGTATGACCGCAAAACAATGGGTATAGTTCTTCATCTTCACATAAACAAATTGGACAAGCAGCTTCTTTATACATTTTATCAGACATTTTATCAAGTATTATGAAACCTTGAACATTTTCTGATTGAACTGCACCATTTCTTCTTACTAATTAAGGTATTTCTAAATTTTCAAAATCAAATTCATCATCACTATGGTATTCATTTAAATCTCCTGAATTGTTGTTTAAGTTTTAAAAATTTGACATTTTATTTAATATTATAATTTTAATAATGCAATAATAAACAAAATTAAATTATCTTCATAACTTGAATAAACAGAATTAATTTTTATATTATATTATTTTTTTTTTTTTAAATTATTCTATATCATAAATTCTGATATCAAATAGGATAAATATAATACATTTTTTAATCTTAAAAAAAAATTTGGAATTAAGAAAATATAAAACTAATATTTTTAAAATTATAGATGCTATGAGGTTATATATAAATATAGTAGCCTTTTATTTTGGTAGATTTGTTATTTTATATTGATTAAATAAATATTTTAGTAAAAAAACTATTTTATAAGTTGATACGTATAAATTATAAATCACCATCTAATATGTACAATTAATGAAGCAATCATTAAGGCTAATATACAAATAAATCGTGCTATTCGTCCTAGATTTTTCATTTTACTAAGTATTTTAATTAATTAATACTTTCTTAATATAAAATATATCAATATCCATTATAATATTATCATTTTTGTATGATTATGATTATATTTTGATACTAAACCATGATTCAATTCTCTAAAATAACCTTAATATAAATTAATTTAAAAAATACTTATTCTTTTATCTTTATTAATCTATTTCTAACACCATATAGTTATGATGTTTTTGACTCTTTCAAATTCAATATCATTTTATAATTCATGAAATCCTTTATCAAATAATTTTAAAGTTTTATCTTTTGATCCAGCAAGTCTATAAAGTTCAACAGAATTCATATGACTAGCTACTTTATCTTCTTTACCATGTAAAATTAAGAGTGGTTAAACAAATCTAAAAATTATTTATCAAATCTTATACTATTATACATTAGGTAAGATGTATTATTCTAATTATAAAATATTATAAGCCATTCCAATGCTCATAAATGGTTATACTAAATTATCCTCAACTACTGTTTTTATGACATTGTTATTTTTACTACAATGACCAAAATCTATATAGGAATTGACCATTAATCCCTATTATTTATTTGTATTTTACTGGAATAATCTTATTCATTAATGTTAGTAATGTCTTTTTTAGTAATCCATATTTCTAAGCAAATTACAAATATGGATTGACAACAATAACACCTTATAGAATTAAAGTAGGATTGGAAATACAAAAACTTAAGCCAACTGCAGCTCCTAATGATTAACATTGTAAAAAGATTGGTAATGATCTTTCTATAGTCAATAATATGCATTCCAGATCTTAATGCATCTATTTAATGTGACCATGACTTCTAATACCTCCAGAATTTCCAAATCCTCTTTAATCATAAAGAATAACTTAAAACCCTGATTTAGCATACTCATCAGCAACCTTATCTAATTATTCATATCAAATACATGGAAATATCTTCCTGAATGATCTCCATATCCATGTATGATCACAATAGTAGCAAATGGATTCTATGGAGTACAATATGTAGTATATAAATTTAAACCATTAGTGTAAGTGGGTATATATTTTCTAGTAACTGTGTACTTATCTTCATTCCATTCACCAAGGAATCTATTTGCATATAACTAATTTAATGAACTATTTTATTGATAACCCTAACTTAAGCATATAGATGCTTATTTAGTTTTAATGTCTTACAATTAATTTCTTACATAGAATTTGGTTTTGAAATTTGATAAACAGTTTCTTATTAACCAAAAGAACTGTTGCTTCTTCTCATTTCTTTATAAATGAAATTTGTTATGAATATTTTATGTTAAAAATTATCATTCAAACTATTACTTCTCTATTTAGTTTATTTATAAGACTAATCTTCTTAATTTAATGTATGGAATTTTTATGAGAAATAATTGAGTTTATCTTTGATTTATCTCTAATATTTATTTTGTCTGATTTAATGGAATTATTGGATTTTCTAATGGAATGTGCTAAAATCGAAAGAACCATTGAAATAAGTAGATAGTTTTTAATAAAATTCCCTACTTTTCATCCTTATCAAGCTTTTAAATAAATTGATCAACTTAATGATGTATTATATTAGTTATGACATTTAGGGTTATATTACAGCATAGACAATTTAAGTTTTTCTACATCGATTTAGTTATTTGCATACACTTAAGGAATGTGGTATATTATTCTACAAACCAGAATTTAAATATGTAGACTTTTTAAGATTTCTACTTCCAACAAATCAACTGTTAAGAGATTATATCTCTCACTCAGATTAACAATCATAATAATCTAATGAATGCTTAAAGGAAATAGCAAAACATATTAGCTTAGAAATTGTTTTAATGAATAATTTACAACCTCCCTAATCATTAGATTAATTAACTGATGGAACTAGAGAAGATATTGAATAATTATTTAAAAAGGAAAGACTATTTGTATATTAAGATGAGATTGATGCAATGATAAAGAGATTAGACTTTTATGGTGATGGTTAAATTGATTTATTATTGTTAAATAATTGGGTACTTATCCTAAATAAATAAACTCAAATAAAATAATAAAAAGAATCTTGTTCTGCATTTGTTACTCCTAAAAAGTAAATACAATTTTAGAATTCAATTAAAACAACAGAAAAAAAAGAATCTAAGAATAATACAACTAAATTAATAAAATAATCTCCTTAAAAAAGAAATCAAATACAAATGTAAAAATCTAAAAAACAAGTAATGGCTTGTTAAAAATATAAATAAGATAATAGAACAAAAATGACTTAAAATAAATAAGAAGTTGAAACTGAAAAGAAAAAGATTATAGAAGTTTAAAAAAATAAAAAGAATATTAATACTTAAACAAAAAATAAATCAAAATAACCTTAAGAAATTATTGAATATCTATTAGACAAAGAAATTAAAATAGAAAAAATAAAATAATAGCTAGCTTTATAAAAAGATTTTAATACTTTAGATGCATTTAGAGCATTAGATGTTTATAGTAAAGGATCAATAGGAATTGAAGAAATTGACACTCTACTTAATTAAAAATCAGGTTAAAGTATGCAGATTTTTAAGAGATTCAACAATAACTAATTAACATATCATGATTTTTTATATCTTCTATAACCTTATTCTGCTAATTTTGCTGAAATACTTAATACCAGATAACCAAGTGTTGATGGAAATAACAAAAAGATGAGTGAACTATTTAGCTATTAAACTATAAAATTACTCATTGATCTATTAACTTTATTACAATAAATTCCAGTAAAATTAAATGCTGATATTTAATTATTCAATAAAATTGATGGTATTACAAGAGATAATTTTATTGGAGTTTCAGATGTATTGTATTTTTATAAGATTTAGCTTTAATAATATCTTTATGAAAGTGGACTTAGATACACTCATCATGAAGCAATACTTCTTATAAATGCCTATGATAAAGACAAAGATGGTAGACTATCATTACAAGAATTCTTAGATATGTGATTTTTATTTTCATATTTTTGTTATCAATATTTTTTTTATCTAATTGTTTTTATTTATTCTTTTGAAATAATATAATATAATTTGTTAATAATATATTTTGATAATATAGATGAATTCATAAACATAATTTAAAAGCTCTTTTTAAATAATTTCCTTTATTGATTCTTTATTTTAATGTTAGTGCTATTTGGGATTGTTTGAGTTGCTTGATTTAGAATAATTAAAATTTATCTGTTATAAAATGAATCAACTGAAAAAACATATCTCTGTAAAATGCATCAATTTTAACACTTAATCTACAAACACTCGTACTAGGAGTATCTCAAATTAGGTTTCCAAGAATTCAACTGATCGTTCTAGATCTGTTACTAAATTATGTCCAGCCATTAAGTAAAATAGTAATATTAATTATTAGGTTACCTGTTCCTACAAAAAATTCAGAAT